GTCCAGATGAAACAGGAGTGGGAAGGTGACATATCTTCTGGCAGGAATGGGTCACAGGCATTGTCCTCCATTAGAGTGACCTCTCCCTCTTTCCTGCTGTGCCCAGGAAGGTGCCCACGTGCCATTCAGCCTCCTTCTGCTTGAAGGGTGCTTGCTTCAGAGTCTTCTCCATCCAGGACTTCTGGGTACCACTCTGCACAAGCTCACAGGGTCTCTCACACCACTGTTCCTCCTGTTGCCAGTCCACACACACCCTTGGAACCACTCCCTCCAGATGACCCTAGGCCCACCATCTTGCTCTTCCGTTTCGGGTCCAGTTGAGATGAGGTTACTGTGTGGTAGGGGAAGCCCCAAAAGGGTTAAGTTGCCAGAAGCATAGTCCGGCCCTTGGGCTTTCTCAGCCAATCAGAGTCTGTCCTGATGAGGTAAAGCTTCTATCCTGGGTGGCATTGATGGAGGTGACTGGCCCCATCTCCTGCTGGAGAGAGCCGTAAGGGTGAAGTTTCTGTGGAACCAGACAGAACTGGAATTAGCTCGCTGTCCACTCTGCTCAGGACTGCCTGACTCCACAACCTGACTGTGCTTCTTTCTAAGGCTCTCAGACAGTCCCTGGCACCTCCAAGACCCATCTCCAGCCATCCCAGAGGAGATGGCTAGGTGGCAGGAAGTCATACAGCTAGAGAAAGCCCAGGAGGCCTCAGTTTTCCTGTCAGGGCTCTAGAATCTGGCAGGTAGCTATGAGGGACTGTCAAAAAAAAAAAAAAAAACAGTTGTCACATGAGCTAGAGGACCAGTGTCAACCTCTGTGAACAAGACTAACAATAAATTGTCCAATGTAGTCACACTGACAGACAATGATGAGCATCACAGTGGGTGGTTCACTGGGGACCTCCTGCATGCCACAAAACCCTACACAGCTCCAGATTGACCCTCACAATGGCCCTGGCTACCCCATCCACTTTGCTGATGAGAAATCTTCTCAGGGAGAATAAGTGGTTCTCCCAAACTCACATGTCTATGCAATCATTTTCAACTATTTGTTGCCATGCCTGTGTCTCCATCCATAGCCTGTGACTGCTAAGGGGAGTATATGATAAATTCCTCCAAAGAGCCCAGCATGCACCTGAGAATAGGGTTGATCCACGTACCCTTCTCATCCTCAGGCCCTGAAGACTGAAATAAGCCTACTCTGTTCAGAAGGGTCTAGAGCCCAGTCCAGAAGCACCTACATGGGTGACCAGTGGGAGGTTCACTGTTGACCATGAATGAACAGTCAGGACCCCCGTGGACAACTCTTAGATCTACAGGCATGGCCTCCCATGCTTGGACCACCACTCCAGTGCCCACATCATCCCTTTCCAATTAGAAGTCCATAAGGACCCAGATGAGGGGACATTCATCTCTGTGCCGCCAAAGAATCTAAAGCAATGCTGGATACAGAAGACACATTCATCACGTATATTTGATCAAAATTGTACAGATCAGCCAGACCCTGAGAGTTTTAAGCCTCACTGGCCACAGCATGGACCAGCTCTGAGTAGATCTAATCAGAAGCATCGCAGTAGGGCTAGGAGTAGAGTAGAGGGAGCCTGGTGCATGTTATCAAAGGCAGAAGAAAGGAGGGTGCCCTCCAGGGACATGTAATGAAGCAAGAGGGGTAGAGTTCTAAAGATGTAGCATGGGTGCTGAGCAGGAGAGAGAAGCTGGGGCAGGACAGGAGGCAGAAAATTTATTCCCAAGAAAAGAAAGAACATATTAAAGGCTGAGGATGGAAATCAGTTGATAAGAGTATGTCCTTGTCATGCGAAAAGCCCTGGGTGCAATTCCCAGAACTTTACAAATTGGCTATAGTGGTACACGTGCGTAATCAATTTGGGAGGTTGAAGCAGGAGAGACCCAAAGTTCAAGGTCATCCTCCGCTACATATGGAGTTTGAGGCCAGTCTAGGCTACAGGCAACCCTGTCTCCGAAGGGTGGAGGTGGAGGCTGGAGAAGATGGTTTCAGGCTTCAAGGGCAATGTGCTTGCTGCACAAGCATATGGCTCTGAGTTTGGGGACCCAGCAACCACATAAAACGCCAGGCATGGCAGTGTACTCCTGGAGTCCCAGTGGAGATGTGGCTGAAACAGGCAGATCACTGGAGCTTCTGCCCAGCCAGCCTAGCACAGTGAGCTCCAGTTCCAGTGAGAGATGCTATCTCTAAAACTAAGGTGAAAAGCAACTGGAGAAGACACCTGATATAGACCTCTGACCTACACACACACACACACACACACACACACAGTGCTAGGACCCCCCCCCACACACACACACACATTGCCACACCAGAGAACTTCTCCTCCCCTTCCCACATATGTCGCAGGAAGCTGTGAAAGAGAAAGAACTCTCCAGCCTGTGTTTTCCTAAGAGAGGTAGCTAGCCCCAGTCCCTGGCCTCTGGGGATCACAAAGCAGAAGGGACCAAGCAGGTGACTTCCGACTGCAGGGAGTGGTTGCCATAGGGTTGTGCTGCAGGTAATGCCACACATTTGCCCGCTGCTCTTTACACTCACTTTCTCCTTCCCCCTGTGTCCCCACAGTAAGCACCACCAGTCCTTCTCAGGACAAACTGCATCTATCACTGCCTGTGACCATTCTAAAGGGTGAGCAACAGGATGGAGAGGAGCAGGCGCTGGGGTAGGAAGGGGTAGGGGCGAGTCTGACAGTTGCTCTATGAGCCCTTCTTTCCCTGTAGAGGCCTTGGAAGGGGACAGGTTGCCTAGGCACAGTGTCCTCAGTTCCACAGGAGGCAGAGTGTTCACATCGAGAACAGAAGGGGAAAGGCTGGAGCCCCAGCACTGGTCCAACAGAACCTGCATGCCTAGAGGCAAGAGCCAGCTTCCTCAGACTGCTCAGCTTTCTTGCTCCTCCCCTGGAGGAGTGTATCCTCCAAGGCCAGCCTGGGGAAGGCCAGCCTTTGGGAAGGATGTTTACAGTCACCCTGAGGCTAAGTACAGGTGGAAGAGAGGTAGGCCCAGTCATGCCAATTGCTGAAGCATGCCTGGACTGAGAGGGCCAGAGAGGATCAGATTTACCAGAACTTCTTTCAAGAAGCACTCTGTAAGTGACTCATGAAATTCATTGTTAAAATTCCTCAAGTAGGTATGGTGGAGGTGTGGCTGGGTAGGGTCAAGTAGCAAAACACTGCTCCCCCTCCCCGCGCCGCCCCAGGGGGATGCCTCACAAAAGCCAAGTGGTGCAGTAACTACCTCCCCAGGAGAATGGAGATGCTTAAGTCTTGGCGGGGCCTAGGTCTCAGCTACACAACATACCTCCAAAGCTGTTCCAGCTACCACACCCTCCTCTTTTGCACCCCTACAGCCTCTCTCTAACAACACACTAACTTACAGAGCTGGTGCAATAAGATGTCCAGTCTGTTGTCTGTTGCCTCTCCAGGACGCCCACATATTAGGGGTGAGTCAGGGACTGGGACCCTTTCAGGGTCAGCCAACCAAGCCCATTGCCATGCAGGGCCCAGAGGCTCTCTGAGACAGCATGCCTTCAGGTATTCCTGCATTCCCAGGTGAGCCTACATTGGAGAGTTTCCAAGGTACTGAGAGGCTGTGGCTCTCCAGAGCCAGCAAATTCTGGGGCCCAAGCACAGAGCATTCTTCCCCCAGGTGAGAGGAAGAAAGCCTATGGAAAAGGAAAGAGCAGCCTGCGCGTTGGGCTTGGGTGACTGGGGTGCTGAAACGCTGAAGGAAAAAGTGGCCTGAACTGTGACTGCAGCCAGTGCAGATCCATGCAGTCTGTGTATAGTCACAGTGATGGAGGACTGTGATGGTGGGGACCAGCCAGTGCCACCTGCAATAGGGTTGGGGGAACAGTGTGCTCCACTTAGTGTTTGTTGAATGAATACCTACTACATACTTGGCGCTATGCCATGAACTGCATACGCTCTCCCATTTAATGCCCACAGCAATCCTTAAAGGAGGGACCCCTGGCCCCTCTGATGGAGCCATCAAAGCATGGGGCAACAGAGGGGCTCACCCACAGTTACACTGGCCATCAGGAGCAGTGTTTGACTCAGTCTCTCCCCTTCAAACACCTTTCAGAGTCCAGCATGGTGCAGTTCTCCGATCCCCACCGCCCTTGCCTGTGTGCTAGAGAGCACTGTCCACCACTGAAAGGAAGGAGGGACTGCCAGCACCGCTTCCAATCACTTACTGCCCCTCTGACAGCCCCGGCTTGGTAGCCCGAACATATCAAATAGCAACAAGGCCCACCGGCTGGCAAGCTTCTGGCCCCTCTCATTTCCTCTCTCCCAGAGCTGACAGAGCTACCACCTCAGCAGCTTTTGCAGCCACCACCCCAAATTCCAAACGGCCAGTACTTATAATTAAAAAAAGGCACCTGTATGACTCACAGTGGGCAAACAACTGGACCTTGTGGCAGACATTTGAGTGTCAAAGGAGAACACTGTTATCCGGCTCCCATCTCCTCTACTCCCCAAGCACAAAGCTGTACTGGTCCAGCTCAGCCTTCACTGGCCATCTTTAATGTCCCTGATGTTCCTTCCAGCTGGCAAGTCCCAGGCCTCAGCAATCCAAAGTCAGTGCCACCTGGCTCTGGCAAGCATCAAACCAAGGTGTTCTACTACCACAAACATGCCCTCAATTATGTCTGCCTTGGGCTAGTGTTAACAGCAGTGTGCTGCCCCTGGGCGCAGCCTATCCAGCAGCAAGAAGGGCAGTTAAACCTTGCCATCAGCAAACCGGAGAGTGGAGCTGAAAACTGATGGCCCATGCTCAGCTTGGCTGTTATTCCTTCTGCAAGCAATATCAAACCCATTAAACAGACCCACAGAAAAACCTGTGGAGAGACATTCGAACACAGACCTTTGCCAAGCCCACTGCCCCAGTTCAGGGGCTAAGCTAGGGATGACTTCCAGCTCAGGTCCAAAGCTTAAAGGCAGAGGGGAAAGGTGGAAGCCAGGGCTGCGGCCACTGGCGGAGTCCTTACCTTCCTCTCCAGGGGCGATGAGGCCAGCTGTTGCTGCTTGGCGATGTTCTCTGACAGGCACCAGCACACTCTCTTCTTCTGCTCCTGTGAGTGAGCCTCCAAAGTGAACAAGCACTCTGCCTTCTGACGTCAGGGAGAACAGAGAGAGAAATGGGTGGTCAGGGCTGCTCCCTGACTCAAGGGGCTCCAGGGCCCAAGCCCATCCCCTGGGCTCCAGAGGGCGAGGCTACATCAGGGATGAGAGCATCAGCTAAGAACAACAAATGCACGCCAATCCCTGGCGACACTGAGGTAGGTGGTCAGAGGACCAGGGAAGCAGCCATTTGGGAGCCACGAGGCCACAGTTTGAGTAGGTGGGTGGGGGAGGCAGTGGCTCTCTATACAGTGGAAGCCTGTGGAGAGCTACAGGCCAGAGGGTGAGGTCACCCTGGAAGCAGGCAGCACAAGGCAGCAGCTGGGGATCACGTGGGGAAGCCAAAGGACCAAGCCCTTGAGCGGGTGCTCCATGGATACAGGACCCCCCCCTCCCTGTGACACACACACACACACACACACACACACACACACACACACACACCACACCACCACGGAACATCCTCCTCTCATGGCACCGTCTTCAGATCACAGGCCAAGGTCAGTTGGGTTGGATGGACACAGCAACAGAACGGGAGTCCCTTCGGAAAGTGTAGGATGAGCCCTCTAACACTATCCAACACCTGAGCTGGGTCTCACATCAGCAGCTGTGCAATGTTAATCTGACTGCCATTTGAATCTTGCTGACGACAAACACCTAGAAGGCCACCTTCATCTGGGCCTAGCACAATGCCAGGTAAGCATTGACCCTGGCAAGCTCTGGCTGCCTGGAAGTACTTCCATGGTGTCAACAGACCCAGGGAAGCTTTGACACAGTACCAGACAGTCACATCAGCACCTGAGTCAGGGGGCAGGGTGGGGTAGGTCCGAGACCACAGGATCTTCAGAGACCTGTTGTCCCCGCCCCTCATCACCCACTGGGCACTGGGACCAGAAGATAACAAGTTCTTCACCCCACTGGTGATAATACTCAACCAAGGAGGCAAGAGCGTGAGCTGGGAGAGAAGGACCATGCATGGGCCCAGCCTCTCCATTTTTCAGGCCTGGTTTGAAAGCCAGCTTGGCTACTTCCCAGCTGCCAACCTCTAGAGTCAGAAGCTTTCTGTAAAACGCTGGCATGGCCTCCACCCCAGAGCTAAGATGCAATAAGGACTTTGGCAGACCTCAGCACATAGCAGTATGGCCATTTCTCAGCATCCAACCTTCAGGGCAGGGACACCTCCCATCCTATGTCCCTGGAGTGCTTGCCATCCATCCTCTCATGGGCAAGAGGGAGAGGGAGCTGAGAGGATGGCAAGCCCATGCATTTCCACTTAAAGTCAGGTCCCTCCACTTCCCGGACCACTCCTACTTGCTGCAGGCCAAACAAGGCTCAGATTCCCCAGGGGGAAGCCCAGTGAGCAGTAGGCCTCCTGCTTCCGTCTTGTATGTTCTCCTGGTGGGAGGGACAGAGAAGGTCCTTTCCAGCTTGGAAAGGCCACCACTCTACAAACATGGCCCAGCCTGAGCCTCCCAGCCCTGCTCTTACGTCATCCTATGGGCTTCTGACTTCCCACCATCTAATTTACCAACTTTACACTGTAGTCTGTTGTCATCAGTGATTTCATTTTGATCTGGGCAATTTAACGAAGCAGAGAAGGTGTGGATCCTTTGTTCTTATTTTATTTTTGTGGTGTTGGAATCAAACCCAAGCTCGTGCACATGCTAGGCAAGCACTCTACTCTCAGCCCTTGATTTTTGAGATAGGATCTCATGGTCCTTTAGCTCGAGCTGTCCTGGAACTCACTGCACAGTCCAGGCTGCCCAGGAACACGTGATCCTTCTGCTACCTCCGGGTTACAGACATGTAATACCATGCCTAGCTGGGGTGTGGATTGTTACTCCCCTTTATGAAAGGGGAAAACCAATGTTCTGAATGGCCAAGGGTTCTCTGAGCCTCAAATCCAATGAATCAGAGAGAAACACCGAGCTAGGGAGAGCCACCTGCAGCGATTTCATCTCCAAGCTCTGGAAGATGTCACCTCCTGGTGAGGCTTCTATCCCCCCCCCCCTTGCTGGCAGGACTGCTCAAGTCTCACAGTCTGGAGGCAGCAGGAGTGTCATGCCATCAGAAGGAACTATATGTAGGCCAGGGGGCTCTCTAGCTGTCGTGGTCACTAGCAGCTTTTTGCACAGCAGCTTACTACTCTCTCCCTATAAAGGCATGAGGAAAGCCTCTTGGAAGCAGCCAGAGTCCCGGCTCCTAATCCTGAATTGATTTCCACAGCACCAAGTGCTTCCCCCGCCATGCTTTGACATCCCTTCCAACAACTGTGAGGGAACTGTTGTGGTCATTCTATTTTACTGACATCCTTGAAAACACTTCTTAGGAAGGCCCTGGGACAGCCACCAGGCCAGCTGTAACGATTACCTAGGATTCAGTAAGTCACTGCAGCCAACAACTGAGCCCAGAGCTTCCAAGAGTGGCATCCCGGATTAGGGACAGTGATCTTACTGTCAGTCTTAGCAGCAAAGGACAGGACTGCATCTGACAGCTTGAAACTAACCCTGCTACAATACTGGAGAACTTAGAAGGCCTCCTCAGCACCCAGGATCTAACCCCAGGAGGGGCTGTCTGAGATGGGCAAATGGTTTTGGAAGGAGCCTGAGTTTCGAAGACTGGCTCAGCCAAGCCAGAGAGCCAGCTCCCTGAAGAGAGGCTAAATCCCTACCTGCTCAAATCTGTCCAAACTGCGAGTCCTCATTGCTTGCCTGGCTGGGCCCACATGTGAACCATCTGTCATAATTCCGTGTGAGCTCCAAATGACCCAATTAGTTGGTTTCGATTCTGACCTACTCAGTGGCTTCAATATCAGATGCCAGGATCAAGGCTGTAAGCCACCCTAAAGGAACCCATGCCGTCCCCTCAGAGGCACTGCCTTCTGACAGCGCAGTACATGACCAAACACAGGCTTTTCAATTGCATGAACCTGATCCCACAGCACTAGGTAGGGGACCCCTGTACATAACTGTGACCTCAAATCCAACCAGACTCTCAGTTCCTCTTGGCCTCTTTAAAACCGACATCTTTCCTAACCTCCTTGCTCAGAACTGATTTTAATCTCTGTAAAACTCCAAACAGCTTCAGCAGCAACTGAAGCCATGACAAGCATGTTCCATCTCACTCTCTCCTGATAATGATAACCAAGGAGGCAGGTAGGCAAGAAAGACACTGCTGGGATGAGAAGACTAAGGCTCTGAGAGGCCAAATCTTAAGGAGATCCCGACGGAATCCAGAACCTGTGATCTTGCCGGGCCTGTATAACCGTGTAGGTGTGTTACTTGGGAAGTGAGACAGTCCACCTAGCTGTCCTTTTAAATCATCTGTGAAACCTCTAATGGAGGATAAATGAACATGAAAAGCCTCTCCTCCCTCTCTGATCTAATTACTACTTAGCCGCCACTTGCCAAGCATGCTGAGTGCCGGGCTCTGGGCTGAGTGCTTTAGACGCATGGTCTTATTGAATCTCCTTTTAACATTACAAGCCTGCAAAGACGACCTCACTGCCTATGTCAGGAGTATGTAACCTGCCCCAGACGACCACTCAAGAAATGGCAGGGCCAAGATGCAAACCTAGATCCTCCTCATTCCCAAACTATCTTCTTCACATTGCTGTGAAGCCAGCTGTGGGCTGCATCCCACAGATTCTCAGACTGAGGGACACCTGTCCTTGGGTTTAAGATTGTTTAGAGCAGACCAGGAGTGGTGGCACACAATTTTAATCCCAGCACTCCGGAGACAGAGGCAGGCAGATCTCTAAGTTCGAGGCCACCCTGGTCTACAGATGGGGTTCCAGGACAGCCAGGACTGCACAGAGAAAGCCTGTCTCACAAAAAAGATCAAAACCAAAACCAAAACAAAAAAAGAAAAAGAAAAAAAGAAAGACAAAAACAAAAAGACTGCTTAGGGTAACCCAGGACAAAGCTGTTGTCTCCTAGGACAGTGTGTCTTTCTGAATACAGAGGGAGAAAACCCCTCTCAAAACCTCAAATCCTCACCAGGGTTCTTCTTTGGGTACCACTTGGATATCAGACAATGGAGAACAGACTATTCGGTAGAAATTCTAACTAAGATTTGTTTGGGCTCTCCATGGGGCCCAATATCCCCTGTGTCAGGGATGTTCAGGGCTTTGAGCAAGCAAGCAAGCAGTGTGGTCCTCTCTGCACCACAGGCTAGCCCTCCATTAGTAGCAGGCCCATTAAGGTGAGAGGCTCCTAGCACCCAGCTGCCCAAGAGCTGCACTCTCCTGGTCCCTCAGGGTCACCTGGTGCCTTCCGGAAACTCAAGGACTCAGATCAATAGCCAATCTTTAGAGAACTAGAAAAGAGATCTCAGATGCAACGAGCAGAAAGGCTTTTCTCTAGGAAAGCAAAACACCAGTCTGGCAGGAAGCTCTCTTGCTGTTAGAGAAACCTGGAACCTCCTTTTAGAAGCTGGTGAAACATACGGGAAGCTGGAGGGGCCAGTGGGCACAGCCCTGTCACAGTATATCTGCTGTCTATACTCCACTCACTTGGCTCTGGGGAACCGAACACCCTCAAGTGCTGTAGGAATTTTGCCAGCCACCTTTGTGCGTGGGCTGGGCTGTGCAGAACCTCCGCTGCCCACAGCTCTATTTTCAGGCTACTGAGCCCTGGTTTCTACTACGACACTGTCTACTGCCTCTTGGCAACTCTTAGCAACCCTCAAGTGAAATTTTCAGTAAACTTTCTTGTTCCTGGGGTCTGTTCAAAGATGTACACCTATTATCTTAGCTAGGAATGCTTTTCAATCCCAAATGGCATTTTTCCTTCTCAGAAAGGTGTATTCCTCTCGTATGGTTGTTACCCAAACACATAGACAGGTTCCCAGGACAGTTGGCAAGATACAAGGCAGCAGAGGGCCTTGCTTGGACAGATGCCACGTGTCAGCAGAACAAGGCTGGGAACAGAAAATTATGCTGAAAACCAAAGAGAATTTGGATGACTTCGTGGCCCTCAGATTTTTCATCACCAAGGACCTCTCTGATTAAAGCTCTGCTTTATCTACCAAACCACATGAAGCAAAAATAAATAAATACATGTAAATAAAAACAAAACAAAAAACTGTTCGCTTGGTTTTGCTCCTGAAAAGGTACAGTTGTCTGAGCCTACATGACCTTCTACTCAGAGATCAAGCGTGTCAGTCCCTCTCGTGGGCATCACTCTGAGCCAAACACAGACACGTGGTGCTTGCTTCAGCGTGTGCTGTCTGGCCCAGGTGAAGGTACAATTACCTCAAGGCCTTTGAAACACTGACAAGCCTTTGTAGGAGGGGTGGTGAGTGGCACTTCCTGGAAAAAGAGGGTGAAAGAGGCAAGCGTGGGAGCTGGGCCATCTCCAGGAGAAGATGGAGTAAATAAATAAACAGGGTAATGTACAGCTGTCGGGCCACGCCCTCAGGACACCTACAGGTGCAGGGACACCCGAGGTCCCAAGCAGGGTGTCTCAGGACTATCCCGTCTACCATCTGTTTAGTTGCCCTTTCACAGAGAGGTAACCAGGCCGGTTGTGTTCTATAGAGCAAGAAACTGTTCCTGACTTTGTCTTGAGTCATTGCAAGATCATACGGAGGCCAACCTCAAGTCTCATCTCATCTCTTTCCTCGGGTCACACTCTACTCTCCTCCAAATTGGAGAGAGGGACTCACCTCTGCCAGGTACAGCACACAGAATTTCAAGTCTTCTGAAGAACCTTTGAAGAGAACACAAAGGAAGATTCACATTAGAATTGACTACACAGTCAAAGCCTCACTGGGCACAGCCAACTATCTCGCCCAGGAGGCTGTGTGTGGTGCCTTCCCGAACAGGAGGAAGGAGAGGGCGGTGTGGGGACCAGAGCAGTCTCCAGAGTAAAGCTCACTAACTCACTCATCCAAGTGATACACAGTTGGAAGGCTTTGCCTACAGGTCAGCCTGACATGGGAATGCTGGAACCCATTCCCAGAAGGAAACCCACTGACCTCTAATGGCCAGGTATAGGGAGCTATCTGTATCCCAGAAGGACTCCTTCTTCCCAGAATTCCCAGAGTTCTGCCATAGAGGCAGCACATTTCTGAGGTTTCTCTTTGACCGGTGGTTCTTAACCTTCCTAATGCTGCAACCCTTTAATACAGTTCTTCCTGTTGTGGTGACCCCCCCAACCATAAATTTTTATTGCTACTTCATAACTAATTTTGCTACTGTTAGGAATAATAATGTAAGTATCTAATATGTAGGATATCTGATATGTTATTCCCTCAAAAGGGCTACTCAACACCCAAGGGGGTCGAGACCCACAGGTTGAGAACCTCTGCCTTAAACACTCTGTTGCCTTTGCTATTTTGAAATTCATTAGGGAGTCATTTCACTCTTGAATTGACCTTGTTCCTCACAAAGGGAAGCATGGGTCAAGGAGGGACAGTCTTTTGTCCCATCTCTATGCATACTGGGAGACAGCTTTTCGACATGGCCACACTCTCTAAGGGTGTTGCTGCTGGTGTAAGAATGCAAACTCAACCAGTTACAAAACTGTCAAGAACAGGGAGGGATGTGGGTTGTTCCCTTCCCTTCTTGGGAAGTCTAACTGTGGGAGAACTCCGGGTGGAAAGGAAGGGAACTCTGGAAGGTGGGGACAGCTGGGAGTGGGGACAGTGTGGCCATGGGCATGGAGATGGAGATGTGCCTGTGAGCACAGAAAAGCACGAACACCCCACCAGGACACCTGCCTGCTCACTTCAGCCTCTCCTCAGGACTTGGCCACACTCTCCATGAAGTACTCATCTGGACACAGGCCTTGGAGGGTTGGGAATTCCCTGCACTTCCAGCTGGTAGCCTAACCAAGCAGGGTGTCAATTTTTGAAGAAAGCAACCACCCAACACATGTAATAGCAAGCACTTTTTAAAGTCTCAGGGACCCTGGAGTACCATCATGATTTGAGCCAACTGCTGCCCCAAATGCTTTTACCAATCAACTCAGGGGCTAAGAGTAGCTGTGAGAGAGTACTTACTCCTGTATTCACTCCTGACAACCAGGAGGCAGGGCCCCTAGCGTCCTTGGCTCATGTGAGAACAGAGGACCTAGGGGATAATGTTACTCAGCCAAGCAGTGGGAACTGTAGCCCAGTTCCATGGTTCACACTCAACCACAGCACAGCATGCCTCTCAAATGCCAAAAGCTCCAGTAGGACCCCTTCAAAGCACGCTTAAGGCAAAGGACCCATCAAACCAAACAGAGTCTGTCATGAAGAGAAGCCTACAAAGTAAAATCAGATTGTATATCAAGCCAAGCTCTAAAAATGCAGGAAGTAGAGACCTAACCAGGGGAAACCAGACCTCCTCAAGCAAGAGAGTGGACACACCCCAAGGGGCAGGAGCTGCCATGAAGAGCCAGGACAAAATAGCCCATAAGTAAATGGAGGTCCACTCTGAACTTGAACTAAATCTTTCTATTTCTACCCACCTGGAGACAGGTTGAAGAGGGAGAGAACCCTGCCTCAGAAATCTGTAGTGTTTAAGAAAATAGATCCCAGTGCCTCTAAGAATTCCTTGTATTGGTGAGCTGGAGACAAGGGGAGGAGCTTCTTTTGCTTAAGAAAACATACTGAAACCTTTCCTAGCAGACCCTAGTCTAAAGGAGAGTCACTATAATCCAAGTAAGAAAGTAATAGAAACCTGGGCTTGGGGAGCAGGTAATAAGGGGAGAGGAGGCTCTAGAAGTACAGAGGAAGGCTAAGAGATGAAAGACTTGGGGACATGGGAGCTGAGGCTGGACAAACACACTGTCAGACAGTCCCTATGTAAGGAACCATTGATGCATGGCAACTCCGTGCTTTGACACCAGCCCCGCCCCCTCCAGCATCACTGCATTGCTGCAAACTCTCCCTGGCGTCTGTTCCACATCACAGCCTTGTGCTGGCAGCAGTGTGACAGTAGGATGGCAGGGGAGCAGAGCTTAGCATGATTCAGAGCCTCATAAAAGCACAACAAGCAGAGGGAGCTGAGGGTGCCTGGGAGGAGGTGTCTGCAGAGAGCGCCTCCGCCATGCTGGAAGAGGACACCCACACAGCAGACATGGGGCTTTTCTTTGAACCACTCTTCCTGTCTCTTCCATTTTGGAATTCATCAAGGAGCCTTTAATTCCACAGTGGGCCTTACTTGCCACCATGTATGTAATGCATAGACCATGCAGGAGGTTCCCTAATCATGGGCTAGATGGAAGCCAGAGAAGGCCTCCCAGCCCATGTCTGCCTATGGAGCGTTTACCCAGAGAACATCTTGTACTGGTTTGAAAGACACCAAACCTTCTCCACTAGTGGAGGCTGGCCAAGGGAGCTCTTGTCTACGTTCTCCACACACAAAGGCAGGGTCAGGGAGGGACAGCAGACTTCGTAGACATTAATTGGCAGAGCTGAAACCTGAATCCAAGACAAGGAGATACCCACAAAGCCTGGATTCCTAATCCTATATCATACATCTGTGATTCCAGCTGGCTAAGGTCTCCCTCACAGCTCTCACTGAAGTGGCCAGAACCGAGGTGGACATGGAGGACATCTTAGAAAATGTCAAGCAAGCATTCCAGCAGCTGGGGCTGAGGCAGCTGAGTTTCCAAGCTGAGATCCCGGCTCCCCGGTGTGCCTGAAGAGGCCATGAGTCAGATAGACATTTCCAGGTCATGTCTAAGAACAGGCAAGGCCAGAAAGACACACAGTGGGCGTGATGCTGCCTGCCAGAGAGGCAGAAACACAAAGAGTAGCAAAACCAGCGGGCAGCAGTGGCAGGAAGAGACCACAATGGGCCCTGGCTGACTGGAGATGTTCCAATTGTTAGCACCAGCTCTCCGCCTGTTCCCATCACATTGCCATTCAATCCTGATGAACCCTGGGAGAAGCTAACAGAAGGAGGCAGTCACAGCAGGAGTGACCTTGAGTCTGGGGCTCTGCGGGAGGAGACACCCCAGCTGCCAGACTAAGACAGCACTCTGGTGTCCTCTTAGCCATCCATTGGTCACCCATGTATGCTATGCTCCTTACTAAGTCCTAGGAATATGGTTAAGAAGCTGAAGCAGACCCTAGCAAACAAGTCACAAGGGAGTCCTTGGTCCCAGGCATAGGCTGGATTCTGTCCTGCCAGGGAGCAGCACTGAGTGCCAGGCTGGATGCTCCCTTCTTTAACAAGTTTTTGACCACCGAAATTAAAATCTGCAGACATACTGACTTGAAGGTGGGAAGAAACCTGGGAGTCTAGTTAGAGATCATTCTGCCACCAGACACTGCTAACCCCCAAATGACCTCCTAAAAGCCTGGCTTGTTGTAGCAGTGAGCCTCTTTGGGGCATGTGAGAGGGGCCAGGAAATGGCACCAGCCTCCGAACTTTGGGCCCCACAGCTGTGACTCTGGCAGCTGCAGAAGGGGGCACTGGACTTTGGTAGTCCATGGAAAGCAGGAGAGGGTGTGTACAAAGGCTCCGTTTGGTGCCTGGACATGTACCTTGAGTGTTCCTGGCAATTAGCCTTTTTCCTTCCATCCCAGCAGCTCCAGGCTCCCCAGAGGTCATTCTCAAACCCTCTCAGACTTGTGGTCTACCCAGGAAATCCAGTACAGGAACACATCTCCCTTTCCAACCCCATACGCTCTCATGTCCATGATCACTTTGCCTGAGATGGGCTGCCTGGGTCACCCACCCTTAGCTCTGACATCGTTGACCCTTAGCTTTCATATAGCTGTCCCACCATCTACGGGCAGACAGGGTCTCAGCCCACTCACCATGAACATCACTGCCTGGAGTAGGAGAGTGTGTCTAAACCCCTCAAACTTCAAGCCCAGGACCTGGGGCTTCAGGAGGGGAAACCCAGCCAGCCCCCAGCCTCTACCCCCTCCCCCCAACAGGGTGCAAGGTGATATGAGTACTGGGCAACTTTTCCCAGAAGCCCCCTGGGTTCCATCTGCAGGTGCTTCTAGTCCTCTCACCTTGGAGCTGGCAGGAAGCCACTGGTGACTCATGGGAACTGGGGGCATTCAGATAGAGGTTATAAGTAGAACACCCCCACTCCCTGGAGGGCGAGCCAATAAGAGATTTGGGCTTGTGGGCCTGGACCTTCAGTGTGTGCAGCAATCAGGCTTCAGGCCCTGGTGTGTCTAGTGCATGGTACTGAGAACTGCTCTGCTGGGTACCCATTCAGTTTAAGCAGGTCCCAGCTCAGCTGAGCTGGGGACAGGGCAGGAAGCCAGGCTGGCTATGGGAAGCAGCGCTCGCACAAGTGCATGTCTGTGTGCGTGCGTGAGTGCGTGCGTGTATGCGTGCATGCTTGTGTGTGTGTGTGTGTGTGTGAAGGTGGGAGAGTAGCAAGAAGCCAAGTGCAGAGTCACTGGAGGGCAAAGAGGAACCATCTGGAATACCAGAGCCAGTGCCCAAGATGCTGAGAGGTCTGCTCTTCCCATTGCCTCATCGGCTGGCCCTGAGGGTGGTGTCTTGCTCTCCCCTTAGTGGCCTCTCTTGTTCTCCTATCAGTAGCCACCCTCATCCTTGAGCAGGACAGAGCTAGAGAGGGAAGACTGTGAAGGACTTCCCAGGGGGAGGCCAGTTCTCAAGGAGGCCAGGGCACCAAGCACACAGGATGGCTTTGCAAGCAGTCAGGAAGTTCTGGAGCAAAACCCGCCAAAACAGAATTCTTTCGAGGCTAATATTTTCCTCCCCGTGCCCCTGCTGCCCTGAGCTCACACAGGTCTGTTGTTGTTTGCATAATCTGGGAGAGGAAACCGAGCCCCTTTGGGCTGAGACCTCAGGCGCCAAACCCTGTGGCTGGACAGATACCCGCAGCTGGCTTTCCGTTCCCTGGTCCCCCATGGGCCAGGGAGCCATGGAAAGTTTTGGGTTAGAAATTCCCAGCTTGGTGCTGATGTTCAGGTATGCTCCAGTTTCCTAAGACTCTGACCAGGCCCACACACTGGCTTAAAAAGGAGTGTCCACAGATCATTGTCAAGAAGCCTCTATTGGGAACCTGCTTGGAGCAAGGCCCTTTACATAAATGACCTAACTTAACCCCGGCAAGCTTCTGAAGTGCTATTATCATCCTGCTTTACAGAGAGGAAATGAGCTCAGAGGACTTTAGTAACTTCCCCAAGGCTTGACACAGGTCTTAGAGTCCAAAGCTTTCCCTGCCCTTCTCCTTGGATCCCTAGGATAGAAACTTCCTGCGGAGATGAAGGTATAGTGGAAAGCTAGCCAGCTTAGGGTGTGACATCTGGAAATTTGCCATCCCCAGGCAGACATGACAGCACATTCTCAAGCGTCCCACTGAAACTGGCAGACAAGTTTCTAGAAAGTCCTTAGCTGGCCATCACACTGCCCCTGGGGTATCCAGGCCCTTCTTACCCTCCTGTAACTTCACACTCTGGAGGTAGAGGGGATTTCTCAGGACATCACAGCGGCCTGGCTCGTCCTCCTTAGTGAAGAGCAGCAGGTCTGAGTAGGCAAACAGTGTCACCTGTTCAGGGGAAGAACAAACACAGTCTGCTTTGCTGTCCCCCAGGATGCAGGGAGCCACAAGGTCCCCTGGAGGTCCAGGAAACACGCCCATGCCATGACAGGCAGAACCAGAAGGAACTCCAAGTGTGACCCTGCCAATGACAGAGGCCTGCCTTGCAGTGGGGGCAGCCAGTTTGTCCCTTAGTTTTCTAGAAGAGCCTTATTCAGGACTGGGGGTGTCCCCATACCTCACCCCACACCTGACTCCTTCAAGCTTTTTTGTTGTTGTTGTTTTGTTTTTACAAGCCCTCTATGTTGTGAAGGGAAGCATCATGGAGTAACATTACCAAATTTCTCACAGATATTTTTGAAGTATACCAATGAGAAATTGGTTCAAGCAAACAGCGGTTATTTATGTTCTGGTACAGGCTTGTACATAATCGCTAATCTCCTCTATGCTCCAAAAACAAAGGAAAGGCTATTTTTAGACATTATAGGTAAACTGACAGATGTGCTCAGCATATTTTTATGCAAAAAAAAAAAAACCCACTTGGTTCTCTATGCCCACTAAGGTTTACCCTGTTCTTTCCTTTGTCTGCCCTACAGCAGCCTTTCCTTAAAGTCATACAGTCCTATTTCAGATTCTATAATTACAATAATAATAAAGAATTATTAACTATGGAGACTCCTCTTTGAGAGGCCAAACCTGACATGCCATCTTTTCTAAAGCAAGGAGAACCAGCCTGAAGGGCTTGGCACACCCTGGAGGACACAGTGTGTGATTTGTTAACCAAACTTAAAAAGCCCGCATGCTGATATTGAGCTAGCAAGCTGTTAAAGATGATTCCCACAGTCCCACCTCTGAGGCTCCCCTACAGAAGTACAAGAATATATAAACATGAACATGTAAGGATGTTCTCAGAGGCGCCTCTGCAGTTGAAAAAAATAAAAGCCGGCCATGGTTATATACATGTACAATCCTGATGGTCTGGTGGCTGAGCAAGAGAATTGAGAGTTAGAGGCTATCCCAGCTTAGGCTCTAAGCTCTAAGCTACCCTGGGCTATGTGGTAAGAGCTTGTCTCTCTCTTTATAAGCACACATACACACACATATGTATATGTGTGTGTGCATGCATGTATGCATATACACACACACATACACACACACACATACACACACACACACACACACACACACACACATATATATATACACACACACATATATATATGATGGCCCACAGAGACAATTCAGGGATGTCCTTAAGTAGGCTATCTCAGGGTTATGTCCCCTTCCAAGAGGTCCCAAACGCAAAAGCTCTAGAATTCTTGGCTAGAAGGAATCTTAACAGTGAACCCTGTCCAACCCAATCTCCATACAGTATCCCAGTCGCTGGATACTTACGCTTGCCTTACAAAATCCTCCTTAAACAATACCATTGCCCTTTACAGCTCAGACAAACTAAGTGACTTCTCCATAGCCACACAGCCTGGGCCATTCCTCAAGTCTGCCTGTTCCCAATGCTCACATTAGACAGGGAAGTGGTTTTGTACTTGCAGCAGAGGAGAAAGTGACAGAGTATCAAGAACAGTAATAGATTGTCTGAGGAGGGGTCTACAAAGTCAAGGGGCTGCTGCTCTAGGCAAACCCTCATGTCCCCACGAAAACGTGTCCCCCAATCAGGGAAGTCTGGCTGTTACCTCCAGACCCATAGGGAAGCTGGCAGAAAGATTGGAAGAGGAAGTCTGTGGGAGGAGCCTCAACAAGGTGTGAAAAACCCCAGGCCTCTATCCCAGCCTGGTTCCCAGAGCTGAGAATATGGTCTAGACAGGAAGTGATTAAGGCATGAGAGAAAATTTCCCCCAAAGGTCGGTCAGACAAAGGTCAGGGCTGGCACAGGGCTGAAGGCAAGGCTGATGGCAAGCATGCCAGAGCAAAGCATGTGAACCCTGCTCCCCAGCATCCCATAGTGACCCCATCTCCACAGTCCAGTTACCTGCTGCCTTCAACCACTGGTTCTAAGACCTTGAGTCTTCCTCTCACACGCTTCTAGGACACACACATTTCCCAGAGTTTCAAGACTTAGTCGCAGAATCCTTATAACTTGGAGGGTAACTTCTTCCTAGTGACCCTAACCAAAGCCTTCTCCTGGGAACTGGGCCATGAGGCTGGGTCGATAGACAACACCTTGGTGCTTTAGTTAATGGTAAACCTGATGAGTCAGTGTGAGAGTGAGAGTGAGGGTGTGGCATCTCAGGCCTCATACTATTCCTGGAACCTAGAGAAGGCCTGGTTGAATCCTCAATGACCAGAAGTGTGGTCAGAATGTGAGTATAAGAAGCTGCCATAAACTTGACACGCCTTTAATTCCAGTACTAGGGAGGCAGAGACAGGCAGATTGAGTTCGAGGCCAGCCTGGTCTACAAAGCAAGTTCTGAGACAGCCAGAGCTACACAGAGAAAGCTTGTCTTGAAAACACAAAAACAACAAACAAACAAGAAGGCCACCACAAAATACCGGTTTGATCTGGATGTGCAATCAGCAAGTTTATGACTTCTGGATGGGAGGGGAGAGAGCAGTTTGTGCTGTGGGACTAGAGCTGCTCCCTGATATCAATCTACTCAGAGAAGAGATGCTAGGGGGTAGAGGACACATTCAGGGAATGCAAAATGCCCAACTGCTCAACTGCTTAGCACTATCCGGTTAATGACTCTGCTGTTGTGGAGTGGCTGCCATGCTCATCCAGAAACCGCTTTGGGAAAAGTTATTCCCTGGAGAGTGACACAAAAGTAACTAGAATCTGTGACTCCCTGGGGCTCAAGGGGGCTAAAGCTCTCAGAAGCTTCCCAAGGCCCCATGATTGCTACTTTCCATTTTCAGTTAGAGGCACATGAGATGATACCAAAGCCCTTCTATGTCGCTGCTATCATACTTCAAGGAGAAGGGATGTACTTAATTTTCTTTTCCTCAAACTACCTCCTTCGATCTTAGTTCTCAGCTTCCAAAGATGCAGCAGGCAAGGATGCAAGGTGTGTGTGTGTGTGTGTGTGTGTGTGTGTGTGTGTGTGTGTGTGTGAGAGAGAGAGAGAGAGAGAGAGAGAGAGAGAGAGAGAGAAATGTTTCTATAGTTTACTTTCCTTCCTTTGTCTTTAACAAATATACCAAAAGCACCATGAAAAGTGTTACCCAGACAGAGAACCAAGTACAAATCCTGGTTCCATTCCCTGCCAGTCTTGAAACTCTTGGATCCTGGTTAACATCACGGAAGCCTCAGTTTCCTTATTGTGCTTCTCCTCTCCCAGGGTGAGGATGCTGCAGGGCTAATTGGGATCAAGTGTGTAACATGGGATCAGGCATCTAGCGTACATGAGCAATGAGAATATACACTAAGTGCCTAATGTTTGTGGATTTAATAGTGAGCAAGACAGGAAACAGTATACTAGACATGCAAGTATATTCCAGGTGGCTGCTATCCCTACCTGGCTTCTTCTGGATACACTAGATATACAGTCACAACTCTCTAGTTCTGACCATGCACACCTTACCTGCCACACACATGTATGCAGGAAACTCAGTCCCAAGGGACTGCTCACTCTTGCCACCTGGATCCATCTCCCATTGAAATTTCTCTCCCACCAGAGCAGGTGGGAGGTAGACTGGCTGAAACCCCTAACAAAGCTCTCCAAAGACAGGTCCAGAAGTGGTGTCAGCAACCCCAGTGGTGCAGGAGCTAAGCTCTGTGCAGGCAGTAAGGGGAAAGGGTTGTGGTGAAGGCTGCAAGGGTGTCCGCATATGCTGCAGTGAGCACAGAGACTGGGGTTGCAAGGAAAGTTAAGAGTTAAATCAGAAGTCAGGGCTTGTAGTTGGGTATGAGATAACCAAGCTGGCCAGATAAGAGGAGAGACAGGGCTCTGGGCCAGTCATAGCAGGCCGCTGGCTGGCTCTGGGAGTCCCTGAGAGAATTATATAAGAGACCATTGTTCTTTCATCCATCCTTGATTCTAATGCAGCTGATTGTGACAGACCAAATTGTAAGCCTGGATGGCTTCTAGCAAGAAACTTCCTCCTAGGAGACCCCATAGACAAGGAGGTAACCAAAAAAGACTTGGTGGGTGGGATAGGGTTAACACCCTCTGCCATGGTCAAGCTGACCCTGTAAACGAGAGAAGTTTAGCATAGCTAACAGCCCTTGAGATACCCACAAAGTTGGAGGGTAGCTGGCCAAGTCAAGTGACCAGGAACCCAGAGAAGACCAAAGCTAAAGTCAGAGATGAACAGAGCAAGCCTTCAACCACCCATAACTGGGCATAACTGGGCACCAGTATATGAGCCATGAACGGCCCATCTCCTTGGTCGGATCCAGAGGACAGGCATAGAGTGTGTGGTCTCTCCATCGGCTTGTCCCATGACAGCCCAGAGAACGAACCAACCTCAACAGAGACTACATCAGCTTTCTTCAAGTTTCTGCCATTGCTTCATAAAAGCTAAATGAAGGAAAACCAATGGATTTCTCCTCCCTGGGACACGTGCACGCGTGCATGCACACACACAAGCTCTCAGAAGGTTTGCTTAGTTTCCCTCAAATTTTCACTGTCTGTAACCTTTTTTAGTAAAGCTTGCATTCTGCTTCCCATACTCTGAAGAGTTGGCATCCACTGACCTTCTTTGGCCTAAGACAACAAACACGGAGCTACTGTCCCAGGCTAATCTTTGATGACTGACTGCTCCAGCACCTTATGCCCTGGGGTCATGCACAACAAGCCTGTGAAGGGCCCCATCTTCATCAGAATCATCAGCACCGGAGAAACAAGCAGTCTCCCATAAAAGAGACAGTACTCATTAGGAACATAGGTGTTCTGATTTGCTTGCTTACAACAAAACAAAAGCCAAGCCAACTTCCTCTGTAGCTCTAGTCACACAGAGTGCCCAGGACAAGGAGGCTGCAAGAGGCCAACCTCGGAGCTTGCCCTCTGCCTCAGACATGCACAAACCCATTACTCAGATGGAAAGACTGATACAGAAGGCAGCAGTCACCAGAAGCCAGGAACAGAGCTAGATCTAGACTTCCTGCCATTAGCTTCCTGATGTTTCCACAGATCCAAACAGCCATGCACCCTAGCAGAACCAGCTCTGCACCAGGGCCTGAGCTGCAGCAAGTACTCTGCCCTCACCCCAGGACCTACTAGTAGCACAGCCAGATCCCAGGGCTCCAATGTCTCTTAAACTGTTTCCATCCCAGGACTGAGCTGGGACCCGGCCAATTGTGTGGGTGAAGGAGGTTCTCCCAGCCAGAGATAGGTTCTCCCAGCCAGGAAGAATGACACAAGCCCTCCCTCCCTGACCCCTGCTGACAGAGCTAGAGCCAGGGTTGGGGGTAGGGAGGTGGGAGGGTGGGGGTAGGGAAGTGGTGGGCTATTAGAGGTACCAATAGACTGAGATCTCAGAAGAGGGTCTGGGGATGGGTTCATACAGAAAGACTCCAACATCCCTCTAACAATGTGCTTTGGCCAGTAACTTTAAATGTCTCGGGTACTGTCTCAGCTGGAGTAAGCTGCCATCTTCTCCTCCTTAGAGGGGCTCAGGATAAACAATGAGATGTCTTTAGGGACTAGAGGTATGTTTTGACCGGCAATGAGATTGCTATTGTAACTAGTGGGCAAGCAAAAGCTGGGTTCGCACTTGGTAAGGCTTTTGGAATGAGTTTCAGGTCTCCATCCTGAAGTTGCAGAGAGAAAGTGAGGGGCCTAATGAACAGGCAAGGAAATCCGGCAGGAAAGCCTGCTGGGCCGGGCACGCCTTACCTGGGAAGCCTTGTTCCTCCCCTCATACAGCAGCAGCTCTTCTGACAGCAGGAGTGTCCGGGCAGGGTTACAGAGATCTAGGGGCTGAAAACCAATCACGCTGAGTGGGAGTGCAAAGGTCCCCTTGCCAAAGCCAGATCAGAGAACTCTCTTACACAGGGAGAAGACAAGACTGCCCGCCCCCCTCCTACCCCTGACCCTGCGCACCCCTCACACCCACAGTGGAAACAGAAAGGCTCTGCTCCAGCCCTGCGCAGCCCGGCCTGACCAAAAGAGCTGCTCTCTCTACAGGAAGTTCAGCCACAGCCTGAGTCTTTGCAGCCCTCCCCCTGGTACCCGCCCCCACAACAGGCTCCTAGGCCCTCCCAGCCCTCCTCTGTCCTGTGTGAGCCTCACTGAAAGGTCTCTGCTGACAGGCCCAGGAGGCAGCCTGAGAGTCCTATGCCAAGAGATTTGGTCACTCACATCTCTTCAAGGTCAAGTGGGTCCCTGCCCTGCTCAGGTCCCAGGCTGAGCAAACTGACTCACTTCACTGGTCTCCCCAGCAACCAGTTCCTACTCAAACTCCTCATCCTGCCACCCTGTCCAGTCCAGCTCAGAGAGCACACCCAAACTCTGGCTGACCTCCCAAAAGCACCTGTCCTCGGGAATGTACATATTTATCACATGGCCCCCAAGTCCCTGAGCTCATCAAAGGGCTATAGAAAGGTAATGAAACAAACATCAACTATGCACTCTGGCAGGGATGGAGCTTCAAACGGAGGCTGAATGATGACACCTCTTAGGTATCCATAAGTAGACAGGAAAACTGATGGAGAGCAGAGCAAGTCTGGTCATCAAGCCAGGCTGGTGGGGCAGGGGTGGCGGTGGTCTCCAGTGGGGAGGGGGGCACTAAATAAGGAAGAGGTAAAGCAACTTCTGTGTGGACAGCTGCTGGCTGTCCTTTACCTTGGTAGGTATTCATCCTCGAATTCTTTGTTTTACTTATGTGTTTTATCTTGATTATTTTTATTTTGTTTTGTTTTATTTTATTGAAACGCGGTTTCTCTGTGTAGTCCTGGCTGTCCTAGAACTCACTCTGTAGACCCAGGCCGGCCTCCAACTCAGAGATCCACCCACCTCTGCCTCCTAGTGCTAGGATTAAAGGTGTGTACCACCTCTACCCAACTTGAATACTTCACAATTAAAAATTTTTCAGTTTCTATAATTTTAAAAACTAATTTAAGCTGGGCATGGTGGCACATTTCTTCAATCCCAGAAGTCAGGAGAGACAAGTGGATCTTTAAGAATTTAATGTCAGCCTGATCTACATAGTGAGATCCAGAATAGTCAGAGACCCTCTCTCAAAAAACAAAAAAACAAACAAAAAAAATGTAATTACAGTGTTTGCAGGGGGAAAAAATGGACAGATCGAGGAAAGACATTAAGTAAGGTGTCCCAACTGAGAAAGACAAATATAGTATGTGCTTTCTCATATACAGAATCTACCTTTAAATGCTTTTATTATATGTACCCATGTGGGTGGAGGGATGGGTCATCTAACCAGAACAGGAACCACAAGCAGGGGGAAGAGTTGATGAGGAAAGGGGGAAACAGAACTTACTCGACATGAAGGTGAGAAAGAGGTGATGACGACAGCAGAAAAGTACCGGGGGCAGGGGTGTGGGGGAAGAGGATCGGGAAGGATAAAGAAAAACAAATTATGTTCGAAAATGCCATAACGGAATGCTGATTAAGTCATTGACAGGAGGAGGGAAAGAAGGAAGGAAGGAAATGAAGAAGTGGGAGAAGAAAGGGAAGAGGTGTGTGACTCCTGCATGGTGATTGCTGGCCGGCCGGCGTGTGCGCCTGCGCAAAGCGGCTAGCCACGCAAGCTCTCCCTCAAACATTAACTCCTGTGGATGAGGCGGCTGACAGCAGTGCTGGACTTTGTGCCACGCCTTTCCCAGCCCCAGAGGGTAAGGAAGCTGGGAAGGAAAGGAGAGGATCCTCTCATGGCTCTGTGTTTTTCTGCACAGCCTCTGGAAACTTCTGCTTCCCTGACAATCTCCACAATATGAAGCCACTTTTCTGTCCCAAAGGGAGCCCTGGATCCTGGATGATCCCTGCCTGTGCTCACTTCCTCCTGAGGAGACCCTGGGGCATGCCACAGGCTCACCTGCACAAAAACAGGGAACACCAGGACTTTGGGGGCCAGGGTTACATAGGTGCCGTAGCTTGAGTGTGGGACGTGTGGTCTCAGGGCTGAGCAATCCTGGTAGTTGCTGTGGCCCTTCATGGTCTGCACTGTCTTCATCAGCCGGGACTTCTTGCCCAGGCCCGTGTACGATTTCCCTTTAGTGGTAGTCCCTGGTTCTGTGGAACAGAGGTAGGGGACAATGAGTCATCCATTAAAGGACCCTCCCCATAAGGAACAAGACCCAGTCAGTGAACCCCACTCCAGCTGGTCTCAGCCTTAAGGAACCCAGAGAGAGAGAGAGAGAGAGAGAGAGAGAGAGAGAGAGTACTCCACAGCTAGGAAGGTGTCACCAGCCTACAACTGTGACAAGTGGATTTACCCCCACCCCACCCCCAGTGACCCAGGCACCAAAACAAACCTATCCATTTATCAGCTTGGCACTTTTGAAAACCAAGAAATTGTCCGGGCATGCTGGCACATGCCAAGAACCCCAGAATCTAGGAACCCGAAGCAAAGGAACTCAAAAGCTGAACAGCCTAGGCCGTATGACAAGATGCATGAGAAGGCTGTGTGATCCCATCTCAAAACAACAACAACAACAACAACAAAACCACAGTGCAGTGGATATCAAGAAATTGCTCCTATCCAAAACCTCAGGTCTGATCCCACTGAGCCTGCAGTCCCACATGGAACATGAATGGGAGCAGAGGTGGCTTCACAAGTGGCAGGGCACCAGATCTTCCTCCCATTACCATCCCAACCCGGATCTCCTGCTCATCACCTCCCAGGCCCTGTGGACAAAGTTCTGCTCCCAGCAATAGTGGCAGACAGGGTGCTTTGCCCTTGTATGTCAGGGTCCACACCTTCTGTCAGCCAAGGTAGCAGGAGCCCACCTGGCCACCACCATCAATTTGTCTAGAATAAGAAGTGGCACGTGTGTGTGCTCTGGAGGCAGGCAGTGGGAACAAGCCCCAGTGATGGGGCTCCCACATACACACCTAGGCTCCTTCTTAGGGTTCCTGCTGCCAGGGGAAACCCACCAGGTTCTCCCTGACTGAGGTGCTCAGCCTGGGTTTCAGAGCCCAGGCTTCCCCTAGCTTTCTGCAACCTGGGTGACCCAGCAACATCTCAGGGAAGCTCCCCACCAACGCAAGGCCGCAGCACAGAGGAAACAGCCCAGAGGGTTTCACACTTGCTTCCTTCCCCCACCTGCAAGGCCCCTTCTCACAGAGAGGTGAGAAAAACATGTCAACCCTTCCCACCCCCCGCAAGTGACCAGCGATCACAGTCTGGTGGCAGCACTCAAACCACTACAACTCAAACCACTTCCTGCCTATTCTGGGGTGGCTTAGACAGTACAAAGAACAGGTAACCAGATGGGGACAGGAGGCACAGAGGCAAGGAATTACCCCAGCTTCTCCTCTGACCTGGCGCTGGGACTTGAGAGGTTGTTTGTGCAGCAGCCTGGCCTTCCACTGGAAAAATCCAACCTGTCTCCCGAGACCCGCGCTAGACTTGAGTTGGACGAGACACCCCTGAACATGAGCGATGACTTCCTAAGCCAGAAGCTGATTGTGCAGCATGGAACCCTGTGCATCTGTGCAACACATAGCAAGCTCCTTCCCAATCTGAGACAGTTCTCTCTGCTTTGAAGCAGAGAACATATACCTTCCTGCCTCTCCTGGTCTGGGCAGTCAGGTAGAAACTCGCTAAAAGACCCCATGAGAAATGGGGCTCGGAGGGCCAGGCTGGTATGCTAGTGAAGCGTGGATGATCTCCGACACTATGCCAGCCATCAGTGGTAGCACGACAGAGAAGGCCACCAGGCCTGGAAGCATGCCATGAGAGAAGTCACAGAACAGTCTGGAAGTAGACAGGCTGAGCTGACATGGCACAGCCTGGATCAGACAAGTAGGGTCTGAAGCCAACCAGGCCATAACGAAGGGAGGAAGGACACAGTCCACAGTGGAGAAATCCAGGTGCTGGGCTCTAAGTAGAGACTTACAAGAGCTTCGTTTTCTTTCTAGGCCCAGTGCTGGCTGTCAAAGAATCTTCACCTTAGACATCAAGAATCACAAATTAGCCACCTGACACATCTCTCTGCTTCCAGAGAGGAGGGGACAGCTCAGTCCCATTTTCCAGATAAGAAAAAATGAGGCCTGGGGTGCGTGGGAGAGCTGCCCAAGGCCATTCAGTTGGTAACCGACACCAGGCAGGACCAGCCCTATCTAGGTGGCAGCTACTCCCTAAAGCTACACTGCCACTCCCCTCTGGAGATACTGGGCAAAGGATGTGGCTCTCCAGAACTGATTTCCCAAGTTATCCTTTTTTGTTTTTTAGAACAATCCAGACTGCAGCCCGGTTGCTGAGCTCCACGAAGGTAAACTTCCACTTGCCACCTCTTGTCTGGCCTACACCCGGTATCATCTCCTTTTCCTCTAGCACCTGCTTCATTGACCAAACACAGTAATTACACGGCTTTGCTCCCAACTTCAGAGGCGAGCCCTGGCAGTCCTCTGGCTCTGGAAGTGGCGAATCTGAGGTCATTCTGCCTTCATAGGACAGTTTTTCTGGGACATATGCCGACTACAGCCAGATAGGTGCTCTAGGCTCCAGAAAGGCCTCAGGCCCTGTTCAATGCAAGATGGCTAAGTTGTCTCTGTCCCTGCTATTCGAAGCAGGATGGCTGAGCTCTCCCTCCTGAAAGGCCACCTCATGGCAGGCGAGAGGAATCAAAGGCCAGCACCCTGGTGACAGTCCTAACCTCTGAACTCAGGATTGGGGGCTATAAAGAATTAAGGCACGAGAATGGGAAAAGATTATCTTTTGATACTAAAAGGGTCACTGTGCTGAACTAGAAATGAAATAAAGTCAAGATCTTGATACAGAGCTGGGGAGATGGCTCAATTGGTAAAGTACTTACTGCACTAACCAGGTAGACCTGAGTCTAATTCCCACTGCCCAGGTAAAAGGCTAGGCAAGGGGGCATGTGTGTGTAATCCCAGCACTGAGGATCTCTAGGGCTCACTGGCTGGCCAGCTCAGCTCAATCAGCAGTCCCGGGTCCTTGTGACAGAGCCTGTCTCGATAAAATAAGGTTGACAGCTCCTGGGTTTGATCTCTGGTCTCCACATACATGCACACCCACACACATCCAAACATGCCCCCCCCACACACACAACACAATCTTGACAGAAGGAATTCAAAACACTGCCACTGTTATTAGTGGCACCATCCCCTCTCTTCCTTGCTTGTTCCTTCCCCTGAGGATTAGGTGACTGTACCCTTCTTGGCATTGTATTTTTAGAGAAGAGTAAAAACACAGACAGTTTAGGACTGACCACATGGGCATCTCTGGAGCTTTGTGGGAAAGGGTCAAAGAGCTCTCAGCCCACGTGCAAACACCCACACAGGTGACACATCTCTCCAGGTCCCTTCCTCAGTGACTTGCCTTCAAAACTCTACAGACAACTGGAGTCATTCTCCTTAGCCACTCTGCCAAAGTTCCATCAAGTTTCTGTTGCCTGATGGGCCCTGGGTCTGATGCAGGGACCACAGAAATAGACCAAGCCCAGCCCTGCCCCTAATAAAGTCGCCATTTAGCAGTGACATATTTCCTCTGCCCTAATGTGCCCACTAAAAGCTTTTAGACACTTACTGTTGAATCACTATCGGGATCCTCCCCAGGAGGAGCACAGCTTCTTTTCCGGCAGGCAAGGCCCAACTGCCCACAGGCCCCAGCAGGGAGAAGAAGGGGGTGCCTTTCATCAGCAGTCCTGAGCCTGATGGGAGCCCCCTCTCCCTCAAAGGCCCAAGTACTCACTTTAAGAATCATCTTCTTATCACTAATGGAGGGAAACAGCACAGAAAGAAATCTGAGAGAAGATGGGAAAGGCCACTCTCAAGGAAAATGGTCCAGGGTATCCTGTAGGCACTGAAGAAAGGTTCAATAACACTCAAGGTGGGCTCACAGGCCACGTGGCAAGGCTGGCCTCAACCTTCCAGACTTTGGCTTAGGGCTCTGTGGCAGGTGCACAAGGGCCTAAGGGCAGCCCTCATGGGCTCCGGCTTTATGCCAGATTCCATTTTTGACCAGAATATGTACACCAATGGAGAAGAATGGATTAAATAGCAGGGACATCTACAGGGCTCAGCGATGGCTTTCCTCCACCATGTTTCAGCATGCAGGCAACTACACAACATTTCTCTGCAGAATCCTCCAGAAGGGCCCCTGGGCAGAAATCACTGACCCTACTTTCTAGGTGAAGTGAGGAGACTCAAGTCTCACTGTGCAGATTGCGACCTCAGGCCTCACAGCTCGACATTCCAGGACTGCTCTCCATTCAGGTTCAAGCATGGTATCTACAGCCCCTAACAGGTACGGTTGCTTAGCAACACTGGATAACAGCCAAATGATACTAGGCACTAGATTCCCCCTCTGCCACCTCAGTTCTGACTTTAAGGAGATACATACTCACTCAGTGAGGGGAAGGAGGTACCAGGAGGATAAGGGTTCTGTATCAATATGCTGGGTCACCCCAATTCCATCAGAAAGGCCTCTGAACTCAGAGCAGGAAGTTGAGCCCCCAACCTCAGCTGATCTCAGCTGTCTCCCCAGACTGAGAGGGCTTAGCACAGTGGACACCTCACCTTCAGGGATGGCATCCTCCTGATACACAGGCCGGAGCAACTGCAAGGGAAAAAGCAAGAGCTTCAGTCACAAGAATGGGCAGAGCAGTCCAGCAGGTGGCTGCATACAGGCCTGGGGAATGGCAAGTGGAGGGAGTGTCATAGGGCACGGGGGAAACTCAGTGTTCCCTTAAGGTGGAATAGAGTTAAAAAGGCTTCGTGCACCATGAAACTGCGGCCCTCTGAGAGACCACAGCTCCCTTCTTGGCAGCTTGTTCTAAAGTACATTCCATGGACCACAGGGATGGTGAGATTACCATACAGAGGTGTCTTCACAACCCAACTTTCTGTTTTGGAGACATGCTTAGCTTACCACGGGGGACCCAGTGCCCTTTCACATCCAGCGATCCATACCTGGCTTCCAGGATTCAGCGGGGCCAGGATGATGTAGTTGGGGTCGGTGGGGGTGGTGGCCCGAGACAGTGCAGGCAGGGTGTGCTGGCCGCTGCGCTTGCCCACCTCGGTGTAGCGTTCCCAGCCACCAAGCAGCAGCCCATCAGAGCTGTCACACACCAGGTGGCAGCTGTGGCGCTGCTCAGGACGGGACGGAGGCCCATGGGTACAGTTCTTCTCTCTTTTGTTAGGGGGTGACAAGAGGTCATGTGTGGACTTGCAGGACGCCCGTCGCAAAACTCCACCGTCTGGCCCTGGCTTGATCTGGGGGACCACACGCCACACGAGCAGGATGATCTCACTAGGACAGCTCCTAGAAATTTCAGAGAGGAGTTCAGACTTGGGGAAACCAGAGCCAGTGAGGGTAGGAAGCCCGCAGGGCAGAGAGCAAGTGAAGAAAGCTAAGTGAGAGCAAGCAAATGCCATGGAGTTGCTGCGGAAGCAGAGGAAAAGGGACCGTGAGGGTGTTGCCCCACAGAGTCAAGTGGCTCAAATATTTTACAGAATAAACTTTAAATCGTGCAGTTGAAACATTTACGCTGTCTACACACCCTTAAACAAAGGGTTCGGCCATTCAGTAGCATAATTAGCTGACGTGGAACCAGCCCCCCTTCCCCCCCCAACCATGGCAGGAATCACCGGGTCTGTTTAGAGTCTTTCCTGCTGTTTGCTGTGGGATCAGCATTCATCTGAGCCCGAACCTGCCTGCGTTTCCAGGCCAAGAAACGCATCCCTGAGGAGCGATGTAAACCACTCACAGCTGGACAGAGAGCAGAAAGAGCTGAACAGGGCAAGGCAGTGTGCCCAGGGCTGGGTGGGGGGAAACATGCCATCCGCCGCCCACAGCCCCCGTCACCGGATCTCGTGTGCCAGCTCCACACATTTCCAGTGCTCCACAGGCCTCTCATTCAGTTGTAGCACGGTATCCAGCTGCTGCAGGCCTGCCCTCTCTGCTGGGCCCCCTGCAAGGACAAAAAAAAAAAAAAAAAAAAAAAGCCTGAGTCCTTCGCTTCCCTAGTGACCGAGGGCAAGGATTGCCCCCTTTCTCTCTGTTGCTCTGTCTGAGAACGAGGTGGCTGTCCAGGGCGGTATCCTTTGCCACCTTCTCCCTCACCCTAGCTACACCCCCACCCCCACGCCACCGCTATCCCTCTCTAAGGGTCTCCTAGAACAGTAAGGAAGTGATATCTTTTTTGGTGGTGGTGATGGTGAAGGGGTGTGTGTGTGTATGTGTGTGTGTCTGTCTGTCTGTGTGTCTGTGTGAATGTGGGAGAGGGTGGGGGAGATGGAGGGAGAAACATATGTGCACATGCATATAGAAGCCAGAGGACAGACAACCTCTATACAAGAAGTGACTTTCCTCAGGCACTCTCTCTGTCTCGCTGTCTCTCTCTTTTAAGACAGAGACTCTCATTGGCCTGGGACCCATTAACTAAGCTACTCCACTAAGTTCCAACCATCTTCCTTTCTCTGCCTTGCCAGTAGTATAATTACAAACATTAGCCACTGTGCCTGGCTCTGTGTGTGTGTGTGTGTGTGTGTGCCTGGCTCTGTGTGTGTGCCTGGCTCTGTGTGTGTGCCTGGCTCTGTGTGTGTGCCTGGCTCTGTGTGTGTGTGTGTGTGTGTGTGTGTGTGTTGCAGAGTTCTCACTCTTGCAAGGTGAGTACCAACTAAATTACCTTCTGGCCTCTGCTTATTTTCTTATTGCTTTTTGTTTGTTTTGCTTGAAAGTATTTTGCTTTGTTTTGTTTTGATAAGGGGCAGAGTACCGTGATATAGGCTAGGCTAGCTTTGAACTTCCATTATCTCATTCTGGAATTCTCCTGTGTGCAGGGGCTACAGGTATGAGCTACCACACCCAGCTAGGAATGTCTACTTCTAAGTGTTAAGTGGGCAGATAGGACGAACATTCATAAATGGCTTTCATTAGTCATCACAATTCAAGTTTAGTTCCTCTTCAGAAACCACCAGGAATCAAAATATAACACCTATCTTCATTTTGATAAAACAAACAAAATAAATCATGGGTCTGTTTTCATAAACTTCAGATTCATCTGTGGGTCATTTAAAAATATTATTCTTTTCCTTTCGAAAACCCAGCCCCTGGTCCAGTGTGAGGCCCCTTCCAGCTCCAGACCATCTGCAAAGACCAGCTGCCTGATGGGAGGGTAGGGCTGGCATCCTTTGCCATTCACTTACCAGAATCCACGGCCTGGACTCGGACCGGAGAGTCACAGCAGATGGTGAAACCAAAGCCGTCTTTGCCCCTCCGGATAGTGATCTAGGACACAGCCCTGCCCAATTACTCCAGAGTTTTGAACCTGGGAAACCTCTAAGCCCCACCCAGAACCACCTTCCTCTCCACAGGAACCAGACCTGAGGAGCAAGCAGCCACTCTCTGTCCCTATCTGAGACCCAGCATCTTAACCGACTTGTGGGCCGAACAAGCTGCTGAGAGCTCAAGGGGAGGGCAGAATGGACAGGATCTGGGAACAGGATAAACCTTGCCCCTTGTGGTCCCAACACCTCAGCGGCTGCCTGCCTCCCTCTCAGCTTCCTTTCCCATGGAGGTCTTGGGAATCTTAGCCCAGAGTTTGTCTTGTGCTAGGGGCCCACAATTAAAGCCAAGCAGGTAGCGGTCCTCCCAGAACACCAGGGAGGGAAAACAGGACATACTCTCTCAGCCTATGGCCCAGTGTCAGGGGAAGAGTGCTGGGGTTCACGGGCACAGGCAGGCTTGAGCAGAGCCTCCCAGCAGCCAGGAGGAGAGTTCCCAAGAGAGGAGGTGGGCACAGGCAGAGCCAAGGCCTCCTGGATAAACCAGCACTAGCCACACGCTTCATTCTGCCTGCACAGGGCTACGTGCATGGGAGGGTCACGGAAGTTCCATCCAAGGACCCTTCCATCTGGATGCTTTTTTGCAGACCAACTCTCTAATCCAACTCCTGCTGTATGTCATGCACTGCTGAGGTACACCCGGGGAGGGTGGCACTTGGTCTCTGGCTATGAGAGAGGACAAGGCCACACAAATCTCTCCAAAGTAAAGTAGGCCATGACAAGCAACAGAGGCCAAAATAGAACTGTATAGCAATCAGACCTGTGTGACCCCAGACACCATGCTTGTGCACGGCAGGAGTTCGGCAAAAGCTTTGTCTGTTAGGGCGCTGACAAGCATCCCACCTAAAGAATGTTTACATCTGTGGCTTTGGAAATGGCTTAGTGTAGTGGCTCTCACCCTTCTGAATGCTACAACCCCTTAATACAGTTCCTCTTGTTATGGTGACCCCCCCCATCATAAAATTACCTTCATTGCTACTTTATAACTGTAATTTTGCTACTGTTATGAATCGTAATGTGAATATCTGATATGCAGGATGTCTGATATGCGACCCTGTGAAAGGGTCGTTCAACCTTCTAAACCGGTCTCGACCCCACTGGTTGAGAACAGCCGGCTTAGCTATACTAGCACATGAGTTCTATTCCCAGCATCCATGTCAGGAGTCTCATAGCCACCTGTAACACCAGCTCCAGGGGAGACCCAACAACTCTCACCTTCATGTACACACACCTATCCACACATATAAACATAATTAAAAAAAAAAAAAACTTTTAAAACAAAATCTTCAAAAATCAAAAAGAACGATCCTGTGTGCAGCATGGCCCACTGGCTCATTCAGATGATTAGATCAGAAGACGATCTCAGAGGGAGTCCCAGGACACCCCAGGAAAGGGCAAGAACAGGGTGGCTCCCAACAAGGTACAAGAGGAGGTGTCCTGGCCAGGAAGAGGAAGAAAACAGTTCAGTGAGCCTGGGCTGGGTCAAGGGTGCCACCAGCCTTTGACAGAGCCTGCTGTCTCTTAGGGCTGGGCGCCTGATGATACCCCAAGGCCGGGCACAGTGAAGGGGAGCAGGCAGGAGCCCAGGGTGACCAAAGGTCCCCGACGCTCTGCTTCCCACCAGTCCTGGGCCTGGATTCAAAGCAAGTTTGTAAAACAGGAAATCTGACAGACAAGGGGGAGGGAGAGAGGGCAGGAAAATACCCCGTTCCCATAAGAATTCTGGGAAAACACACAGCTAAGACAGGAAGAGAAGGAAAAAAGTGGGAAGAAAGAAAGCTAAACAAAGCCAGGAGTGAATGTGGACTGAGGAAGAATGACAGATCTCTCGTGGCCCGGCCACGGCAGGCCCAGAGAAGACAGCAGGAACCACTGTGTGGGGCTAACAGGGGACTTGCACCCAACCCTCCACGCCACACAGGCACCCTCCCAGCCCTGCCCCAAGCCTACACCACAGGGTACTGAGGATGATCTCTCCTTTCCGGAGGGTGAGCTTCTGAAGATGAATGTGTTTCTAAATTCTGGAGCTCTGGTCCAAGCAGGGACAGGAGCCTCTTTACCTCTCTGAGTGCCACTCCAGAGAACAATCCCACCCTGTTGGCAAGCAAAGGAGTGGCAGGAGAGGAAATATAAGGAAAGGAGAGCGACGCCTGGCTTTGTGGGAGGAGCGGACTGTAATGGAAGCAGAACCTCGCTCGCTCTGGCCATCATGACCTCTAGGAATGAAGAGAGTGGTATCCAAACAGTCTGTCCATCACTACAGCCCAAGTTTACAGCGTCAGCAAGCCCATTTTACAGAGAAGGTAACCAAGGTCCAAAGGCTGGGAATGCTCCCCCACCCCGCCTCTCTGACCTTGGGCTCAAGGAGGGAGACTGTGCCCTCCTGACTCTGGGACCTCAGCAGCTCCTGTGTCTCAGCCATGTCAGCACCTGTCTAGTTGCTGAAGTTCTGTCACACCTGGACTCCTGTCCCTAGCTGCCAGCGTTGACTGGCCACTCCCTAGAGGTGAGCTGCAAACACAAGCCAAGCACTTCATAGGAGTTGTCCTACACTCCCATAGGCTTGTCTCTGTTTCACTACTCCTATGTTAGGGACGAGGGACTGTGAACTGCTCAAGAGAGGCAGCTAAAGGGGACTGAGCTGGACTAGAGCTCTGGTCCCATACAAAGTTTAGTGAGTTCAATTCTGCCCCTAGCTTCTAATGCAGGGGACATCTTACTCTGAGTCCCGAGCTGTGGGTCCAGTCCATGTGTGCACCAGGTCCCACTCTGACCACCAGCACATCCCAGTCTCCTGGCTCCTTGGCCCAAGGGCACCTGGGATTTCACTAGCTTCCCTCTGGTGTTCACCCTGCCCCACCACCTAACTGCAGCCAAGAAGGGAACATAGGTTGGGACAGCAGGGCAGGACCTGAGAGCCGGGTAAGGCTGGGAGGAACATCTGGATACCTGAGTGACAGAGGCAGGTGCAGAGGACCCTGTGGGCATCTCCTTGTGACCTATACACTAAGGAGTTAGGACCTAGATTGTAATGAGGGCCTTCTCTGTGCTTGTGTGCTCCCTTCAGCTTGGACACTACCCAAATCTGGGTTTCTTTTACTTTTATACCCAACCCATTCTTATTTTATAAGAGAGAAAGTCCTAGCTGGGTGGTGGTGGCTCGTGCCTTTAATCCTAACATTTAGGAGGCAGAGGCAGGCAGATCTCTGAGTTCAAGGACAGTCAGGGATACACAGAAAAACCCTGTCACAAAAAGAAAGAAAGAGAAAAGAAGGAAGGAAGAAAGAAAGAAAAACCTAGTTCTAGAAGAGTCTCAGGGGTGACGGTTACCATCACTTCTGACTCTGCCCACCTCCCAGCCCAGAAGCTAAGAGGCAGACTCAGTGAAGTTGGACTCTAAAGCCACAAGAATGTGGAGTCATTTCAAGGCAGCAGAGAGGAAAACATATACACACACAGAATAGCCTATCTCACGCAGAAGCACCAACACACCAACACACACAAGAGACAAAATGGGTGTGACTGCCCACCAGAAACAGGAAAGTCAGCAATACTGTAGCTCTCCGGAGTCACAAAACACCATAGCCCCAAAACCATCTCAGAGCTGAGATGCCTTTTTAAAATAAATAAATAAAAATAAAAAAAAAATCACCTCCTCCCCAGGTGATAGAAGCAAAAAATCAGCTAAATCATCTCATTAAGGATGCCAGCCAATGGTTAGGACCACAGAACTGGCCTCAGCTGACTGTAACACCCGGCGTTAGGTAGCGGTCAGAGCCATGGGTCCAGCCCCTGCCTCGATTTTCCCCCCCACATCAAAATGTTGGGGACAGGAGGAGGCACAAAAGGGCTTGGAGAGAGAGAGTCTATGTGGATGAGCCCCCATCCCTGACTTCACAAACCACACGGGACCCCAGGGGAGTCAGGCACCCACCTGCCGGTAGCGGCGTTCTGAGCACACCTTGCAGAGCCCATTGAAGCGGTTCATGGCTGCGGGTCCTGCCTCAGCTGCCTACCCATGAAAACCCAGCTCTCCCCCCAGCAGCGGGAGCTCTCACTGCGCCCGCCCGTCAGCCTGGCATGACCGCTCTGGGAAGCCCGTCCCACAGAAGAATGGCAGGAAGTCACCTCTCACCTCCCCAAGCCCTGTCTGTGCTGTGTGCCTCTGCAGATAAGCCCGAAGGCTTCCTGAAATCTCGGAATGACAAGGAAGAGGGAGAGTTTTATATTAAAATTCCTGTCAACTAGTTAGTATTCCTTGGGCCTGGCTGGGAGAGGGCGCCTTTGTTCTGGCTGCATTCTCTGCCCTGGGCCACTCTGTGAGTCCAGTGTTCTCACAAACACCCCTCACTGCCTGCTGGAGGGAAGGAAACTCAAGCAGAAAACACGAGATGTTCTATAACAGCACACCTCCCTGAAAATCTCAGGGTCCCCGAGAGCAAATCCAGTGGACGAACCCAGTGGGGACAATCTGGGATGCCCTAAGCACTATACCCAAGTCAGGGAACACAAAACACGCAGAAAGTGATGGGCACTCAGGAGCTACTGCAAAGTCAGCTTCTTCTTTCACAAAAGTGGGCTGTGTAGAGGGACTAATGACACACAGATGTGCAAGTGGGTTCCCAGCCATGGGGGCACCAGCCTCCACATCTTAACAAAGAAATAGAGGCCAAGAGAGGTTACAGTTGAATGCCAGGTTAGAACCCAGTTTCTGCAGTCAAGTACTTTGTAGTCCCAGGATCAGGTCTTGTGAGTGGTGAAGAACGAAGCCAGCCCCCTCTGCCCTCCTAGGAGCCCCTGCATAAGTCCACCTGCTCACTCATGTTAGAACAGAGGCGGTTACTTGATTTGGTTGTCAAGTGATCGTTGGCAGGTAACCAACATCTCTAAATTTTTCAAATGAAGGATTTGAATAAGTGACCTCCTGTTTTCCCAAACCTCTGCTGATCATTGTCTCTGCTAAGCATTATGGACATCTTCAGGGTACATAAGCCCCCAAATCCAATGCACTTGAGATCAGTATCCTTAGTGATAGGAGACAAAATGCAGAGTCTAGCACAAAGTTGGTCTTTCACAAGCTACCTAGAGACCAACAGTGTCGATGTCGAAGTAATTCCCAGAAGTGGCTCCATTGTCACTACCCCCTCAGAGAGTGAGGAGATCTTTGGAAATGATCCCTAAAGCTAGAGGAAGCTTTTAAATCCTAGTAAAGCCATAGAAAGCACATCTGACAAGTTACCCTAGCTCTATAATGGGAGCTAGACCTTTGTACATGGCAAATGTCCTGAAGTGAAATAGAAGTTGTGGTTGGGTTTCTCAGGCCAGCTTGCTACAGCCAAGTTCTCGAAGCCACAGGCAGAAAGCTGCTACTATGCTGGGCAGTGGTGTTCTGAACAGTATGTCCCACAAGAGCTGAACCAAGGCTCTGTCCCAGAACCCAGCACCAGGCTGGGATCCATAGAGGGGTAACCACCCCACAGTGTATGAGGGAATGGATGAGTGCAGTCAACGGCGAGGATTCCTGGATGGCAATGCATCTATAGGCAAGAGTTCAAGAAGCATGCCAACATCAGCATCTACTCAATGATGTCTTCACACTCTAGAGACAGTTCGGCACAGTACACACCCTGTTGAGAGGGGCTATCGACCTCTTGCTGTCTGTATGGCCACAGTGACATGACACCCATTGATCTGCGTATCTCCTTATCTGTAAGGTGGGGTGGTGACAACCCCCCCACCCCTCACAGAGGTGGTGAGAGTTAGATCACAATAGCACCCAAGGGAATAATTGATCCCTGGGAGTTTTATTTTCCTTCTTCTAGTTAAAGAAAACCATAAGTCAACATGACAGGTTCTCCAAAGGGATTGAGTAACTTTTGGACAATTCTTCCAAATCCCTATATAATGTTCTCCAGATTCAAAGCTAGTAGGAAGCCTGAAGCCCATAACTTTCAGATTCAGAGTTATGGCTACTCCCCAGCCCCAGCAGTCCTAACCTGTGAAGATGACACCACCATGGTTCTAGGAGAAACAGTAGTTCTGGGGACCTGGGGGGGGGGGAAGGGAGGATTCTGTTTCCAGAGGTCAAAAATTCTGAAAGATCCAGTCATCTGTGTTTGCTGGCTCTCTCCCACCCTTGTAAAGGTCGTGAGTATCTACATACAGGACAATGGCACGCCTTTCCAAAGACACACCTTAGGAAAGTCAAGAATCCTCCTTCACAATGCATGACTGGCTAAGTTCCAAACACCACATGCTGCCCTCTTTCACAGTCACTTCTTGGGTCAAGAGGCTGACAAAATGCCTGGAGCCATGCTCAGGTTCCACCAGCCCCACAACCAGGAATGTCCCCACCTACCTGGAGTTTCACCCCACTCTCAGGGTCCCCATCTCCTGGCATTCTCAACAGCATGTCTGGAAGGTGATAAAAGCTGAGTCAGAAAGTTCCTACTGGCATGAGGGCCCATGCACAAACAAGCCAGGGCTCAGAGTGTCAGGGCCGTTCCTGGCTTCCAGGATAGAAGGATGCCAAGGCTCAGAGCAAACAGAGGCCCAGGAGCCAGGGCTTTAAGGAAAAGAACAAGACTGAGGGGGCATGAAATCCAAGCCCTGGGCCTCAAGCTCATGGCAGGCCCTAAAACCGCATCTGCGGAGGTGGGATCCCCAAGGTCAGCAAGGATGAGACATAGTGCCTGGGAAGGGGACACTTGAGAAGTAATGACGTTTCTGTGAGTGAGGAAGGGGATCGATCTGTGTGAAGCCAGGTGGCATAAACTCTGAGAAAAGTCCCTCATATGCTAATGATGTCCTGGGCAGGGGTCCTATAAGCACTGGAAAGAAGTCCAGGGAGGCAAAGACCCATGCCTCACTCAGTAAGGGTCAGGAACTTCAAGGGGCATATACACACCTGTCAGGGGCCGGAGCCGCCGCCTAGCCACCTTGAGGTGCTTCGTCCTGCCCAGGTCCTCCCCTAGCAGATAATACCAGCCACTGATCTCCTGTCATGAGGGAAGGGTTGATATGATTAGACCAAAGAGGCAGAGGGAACAGACCAGGGTACCACTATCCCCTCAAAAACAAAACAAACAAACAACAAAAACTGCAGCTAGACATCATTCCTCAGAAGCAGATGGTCCAGCCTCCCTGCCCCAAGGCTACCACCTATACCAAGAAGCCTTCCCTGATGCTCTGGACAGAAATGGTCCTCCCTTATCCTCTTAGAGCTGGAGAACTATGGACTTGCCTCCTGCCTCCTGCCTCCTGCCTCCTGCCTCCTGCCTCCTGCCTCCTGCCTCCTGCCTCCTGCCTCCTGCCTCCTGCCTCCTGCCTCCTGCCTCCTGCCTCCTGCCTCCTGCCTCCTGCCTCCTGCCTCCTGCCTCCTGCCTCCTGCCTCTTGCCTCCTGCCTCCTGCCTCCTGCCTCCAGCCAGGCTCTTTGACATACTTAATTTTGAGCCTGGTAAACAGTAGGTGTGTGTTAAATATTTGCTTTCAGAACAAAAATGAAAGAGTGAAGAGCAGCAGAGAGGCTGCAAAAGTAGATACTCCAGACCTCTGTGCAAGTCTCCATGAGAAGCACCTTCTCTCGGTCCTCGGAAAAGACGGAAGCCAAGGCTGAAGCCAGGAGGTCAAAAGGACCTCCACACAGCCATCTTGTGACTTCATTCCAGGACACAAAGCTTAGTGGCAGGGACACAAAACAGACCACAAGGACATTCTCAAGATGTGTGAGACACGCACACATCCCTATTTCAGAACTTCCGGTTTGGGGCTGCAGTGCCTACTAAGGGCAGGTGAGTCACAGTGACCCAAAGGAAGGCTCCTTTGAGCCCATGTCCTCACCCAGCCTGAGAGGGACATCATCAATTCCAGTGCTGCCCTCTCCTGTACCCAGAAGACAGATAAAGACCACCCTTGTAGAGGGGAACCAGGGGTGCCTGTTCCCCTCACCCACAGCAGATTAGAAGTAGCCATATCCCATGGGACTTGCCAAAATATTTCCTGGCATTCTGGAATCTACCAGATTCGGCACTTCCCAGGGAGCCTAGGGGCTGCCAAACTGCACTCTGGAAGGGGACCCAAACCCTTACCTAGCCCAGTGATAGTAAAAGTCTATAAATGAGGCTACCAACATCAGAGAGCAGCTCAACCCAGGCATTTCCAGGGCCAGTGTGACTATACCAGCCAACCTAGGTGGGCTATTGCTCCAGGTGCTTCCTGTGAACTCACCTTGTCTGGAGTCAAGAGGGACCTCACCCCGAAGCTCATGCAGCCGATGAGTGCACGCTGCCTAGAAGAGCAGAGAGTAAGTCCCCTGCTGTCTGTTCAAGGAAGTCTTCTGTCAAATGTTCCACAGTCTACATGTGGATTCCAAGGGCACTTCCACCTGCTTCTGTCCCTTTGTCCTTCCCACTTAGTGAGGTGAGCAGAGAGTTCTACTCAGTTTCCAGAGGAAGACACCAAGCTTGGTTGATCCCCTCCCCTGGGCATCCTAGGCCTGGGCAAATGCTGCACTCTCTGATGCTGCAGGAGCTCAGGACTACCATGAGTGTTTTAGCTGTCCTGGCGCTGAGTAGGTGCTGTGGCTTGATCTTAGCCACCACCTCAGCTGGGGACAGGCAGTAGGAGGAAAGAAAGCTTTGGGACTTCAGCTCACATAGCTTTGCCTCACATCCGAGCAGGACCTTAGCATTTCTCAGATGGCTGGAGACCAAGTTCCAGACATACCCAACACACAAAAGCCACAATGACCCACAATAATACCACTGACTCAACTGTCAGTGGACAGGCAAGCATGAACCAAGGTCAGGCCTCACACATTGTCAGACCTGGGATTAGGGGTAAAGTTCAAGCTGGACTTCTCGGGTAACAGGAATTCAAAGTGCCTAGAGACATGTCCAACCATCAGGAACATATTAACAGCTTTTAATAATGATAGCATCGATTGATGCTAATGAAACACCAAAGCTTGCTACTGTCACAGGAAAGAACCTGTAGAAAGCTGCAGTTTCATGGGAAACAGAACTACAAGACAAAAACAATGGCTGTGTCTGGTAGGTGGAATTGTTAGCGATTTTCAATTCTTCACAGGAATAGTTGCTGCTTTTGCAATGGGGTGGGGGGTGCAGTGTATAAATGTATTTTTAAGTACATCTATTATTTTACAGCTTTTCACTTAACCCTGATACTTGAGCCTTTTGTGAGTTTTGGTTTTGTTTTGGTTTTCTTTGGTCTTCTCTTTCTACAGCTCCCAACTCAAGATTTCTTTGTAGATGGGCTTAATTACTATCTAGAAACATCACACATATTTAGGTGAGTTTTTGTTTTGTTTGGTCTTCTCTTTCTACAGCTCCCAACTCAAGATTTCTTTGTAGATGGGCTTAATTACTATCTAGAAACATCACACATATTTAGATTGGAGCATAACACTGGCAGTTTTTTACTATCTGTAGGGCCCACGTAGATGGAGGATTTGGCCTGTCCTGGAGGGGACAGTGTTAAAGCAAAGATGGACATAGTAAACTCCCTGTAGCTGTTCCTCCCAGAAAGCTGGTCTATAGGGGCCAGGCCCGGGAGGTAACTCTGAACAACAGAGCATCAAAGGGCTGCCCAAAAACCTGCCTGAAATTTGAGTTATAGATAGAACTCATGCCTAGATCTAAACCCAGTTGGTTCAAGGCAGGTTCAAGGAAAGCTCTCCAGGGATTCTGCAAGGCGCCCACCCATGGTCAAGCAGAGGTCGAGAAGCCTCCACAAATACATATTGTTTGGATTCTCTGGAAAGGGTGGCAGCTTGCCATCTGATAGTTATAAGCACAACAAAACTAGCCTCGCTCAGGCGGCCAAGTCAAGTGAGGGACAGGACACAGAGTACTGCAGACTGGTCCTCAACACTGGCAGCCCGCCTGGCTATATGCTATAAACCACAGCCACAAGACGGGGGCCTCAGAGTTCATCCAACTATTCCTCTTCATGGCAGTGGTTGGCATCGTCTCCAGCTGTGGTTCATGGGCTTCTCCTCCTCACTGTCCTCTCCTATCATTAATAAACTACTCAAGGAAGGTAATACGGTCACCCTATGAAAAAGCCCTTCACCTTCCTACCCCACTGTTCTGAACAAATATCCTTCCCTCCTGGAAAGGGGTCAGAGTGGCACAGGAAGGCTAGACTCCCACAAGCAGCGATCACCCAGATAGCTGCAGCATGAGGACAGCCTTTGGAGGCTCTGCCAGCGCGCCCCTGGCAAGCTTGTTTTTCTCATCAGCACATGTGGGAGCCCCTTGGCTGGTAGTGAGGTGATGCACAGTTTACACTCACACAGGCCACCACTGCAGTCTTCCACATCTCCAGGCTGGGGGTTTAGTTGTAATAAACACTGCCTCTCCCTACTCTGCTGTGAGTGGAATTTTTATTCCCTGGCGCTTAGAGAATGCTAAATGGTTAATAGCCTCCCTTGAGCTTTGCTTCCTGCTAAGGGGCCTCCAGTGATTTCATGATCATTCAGGCAGAGTAAATTGTCACAATTAATGTCCACAAGCAGGAACCTCTCTCTGAGTGTTCTTCAATTAGCTACTTCTGAAGGCTGCTTTTTGAAAACCCTTTGGAGGAAGAACTGCTTATATAAGCAGCCTAGGCATACGGCAAGGTACGAGCTGGCTTACCAACTTGATTCCATGTAGGAGAGGCTGGCAGTTTTCCTCTGTGAAGAGGCTCTAGAACCACGCCTTGGTCACTGCTGACTGCCAAGGCTTTCAGCTCCAGGCTTCTGCACTCAGCGAAGGCTTGACAAATGGGGGAATCCATCATGCCCGTGGTTGGCAGGCACTGGGCAAGGAGCCCCAGTATTAAGGAAATAAGACAAATAGGCAGGAATTTAAATAGCAGTTCAAGAGAGCAATACAGGACCTGGCACAAGATGGAGTGAGATTGACAGATGAACGGTGCGGGCAACAAATTGTGAAGGCACAAGAGGCAGTTGGGGTTGGGAGGCTTGCAGGAGCTCTAATGAGCAGAGCCAGAAAGAGTGAGAGGAAAAGCATTGAGAGAGGGGACCAAAAAGTGCAGAGGTTCAGAGGTGACTTTATGGAGCACATGGCAGGACAGTGCTCAGCTTACTGCAAGACGAAGCATTACATTTTGGGGAAGCCACATCAATCTGCTCATTTGAGAACCTTGAACTATTTTGTATCATATGGTTATATAATTTAATCTTTATTTCAAGTGCGATGCCTTAAATTGAGTACATGTTTTTCTATTCACTTTTTTCTTTGGGCTAAGTACCCATCACTGGTCATAAGCTATCTGATATTAGATCACTATACTTGGCACAAAGATCCTGTTTGTAAAAGGGCTAGAGGAGAGGCTGTCCCTAGAGTACTAAGGGTGGTGCCTGCCATACGGCAAAGCAGACCTTTGATATATGCAGCTACTGTTATCATAGAAGAGTCCATTATTTAATTAGACATATATAATTTTTTTTTAAAAAATCTATTAATAGTCTTCTACAACAGTCTTTCACACTGTCTTTCAAATGTCTTTCAGAGGAACAATTACATTTTTCTCCAAGGTTATTCTCTGGCTACAGGTTCAGAAAGCACTTTAAATGATATCAGATGCTTCGTTATGCCTTTCTGCTTATCATCCAATGGGACTTCCAAACAGTTTAGCTCTGTGTTCAAAGTGCCCGAGGAAATAGATGGATTACTATTATCTGAGTGTGATTATGCCTATGGGTCTGTTTCTTTAGAAATTGCCATATATGTACACACACACACAAACACACACAGTATACTGATAAGACATGAAAATGTGTGAGGTTTGCTAGAAAACCATCCACTGGAGGAGAGGCAGGTGGGTGGGGCAGAGAAAAGGAAGATGAATTGGGGCTCTGTGTTTCTGGAAGCTGAAATCTGCCTTCTAGCCTTGCATATCATTTGTTTTTAGCTTACCAAGATATTTTATGAAAGTAGCTATTATTTTTAATACTCACAGAACTTTGAAATTGGGGAGAAAAAAACTTTATAGATGACTGCATTTTACAGACAAAGAAACTGAGGCACAGAGCTGGGGGAAGTCTGGCCCACAGCATCACAGCTAGTGAGACTGGCTCTCCTTCACACACTCACTGGTTCTCCTCAGCTCCTACCAAAATGCTGGCATACACTGAAATCAACAGCTCCTTTTCCTCGATGCCAAGATGCCGAGCATCTGTGATCGGCGGTGTATGTACACACACACACACACACACACACACACACACACACACCAGAGGACCATGTCAGGGGCCCTGCTCTGCCCATCTCTGCTGTAACCCACCAGGACAAGGTCTCTCAGTGAAGTTAGAGCTAGACAGGCAACTAGGAAACCCCAATCATCTTTGGGTCTCTGACCACCACTGTGTTGGGATTATAGGCTTGTGTGCTGCCATGCTTGGCTTCTTAGATCTGTGCTGGGGATTCCAACTCAGGTTCTCATGATTACACAGCAAGTGCTCTCACTCACAGAGCCATCACCCCAGCCCCAGCAGGACTTCTTGGTATATCCTGTCTCTAGTAGGAATCTACAGCCACCACTGGGAGAATCTTTCCTTCTTGTTGCCTACAGATTTCAGAATGTGCCTACTACACATCTGACTGGGTGGTTTATACAAAGACACACTACATGTGTTGAAACATCTTGAGGTTGGTGGAACAAGCCACTGACAGGGAAGGAGAATGGCTTTGAAGTCATTTGTCACCCGCGGGAGGCAGGCCAGTACACTGGGATATGACTACAAGCACAAACTTGCTTTCTGACTGCCTGGATCTGCAGCTGATTTTTTTCCCCCTTTGGACAAGTTACATAAGCTTTCTGTGCCTGTTTCCTCACCCATAAAAGAGCTGAGTGGGGATTAAATTAGATAAGGCATGCCATGGGCTTAAAGTTCACATAGAATAAATGCTTGTTAAATACCAGCTGTTATATAATCTCGAGGTCTTACACCTTCATAAGCCTTTGAAGAGAAAGGCAGTCATAATTCTTACCCCTCCAAACATGTGTTAAATGAGATGATGTATGGGAAATGCTTTAAGGAGAATGATTCAGTAAACTTGCCTCCCACCTTCCGTGGTGGTCTTTCACAGAGATAAATAGTATGTCTGTCCTTCAGAGAAAAACAATTTGATTTGGGAGCATTTGTAAGAGCCTGTGTTTCCTGCAGTTGCTGTTTGTCTGCTCCAGTTTAGAGGCCTCCTCTGGTCGATAAAGAAGAGCAGGCTGAGAACACAGGGAGGCTGAAAACAGCCAGCATGGTGCTGATGGCCTTGGCCTCCGTGGAGCATCTGCTCCACGGGCAGGCCTGCCTGAGCCTGCCCCAGCTCTCTTGAGCTTAGGGCTGGGACTCTGACCACGAGGCTGGCTGTGTTTTATTTAATAAAGAATCTCACTTTCCCAAAATAGGCAACTAGTGGAGACAGTGCCCTGATCAGGCAGCCTCGCTGGGGGCTGACTCACTTTCCCCAGCTTCATTTTCTCTTCCAAAAATGTGACCCGCATTGCCGGCTCCTCTGGCAGCTCTGCCTGCCTGCTTCCCAGGGAAGGCTCAGCTCCAGCCCTCACCTCCACCAGCAGCTTGCAGAGTGTCCCTCTGCTTCTCTGATACTCCTCCGGGCTCCTTTAGTGCTTCTGATGCAATTTACTGACCCTTCAAAGCCAGGGTCTGCCACTCGGTGCATCCTGGGAGGTCCATGGCATCCATACCATGCAGACACCACTCTCTCACTGGGGCTCTAGCCACCAGGATCTCACCTTCCCCTTCACGAACTGCCAGTGGCACCACCAACCATCCAAAAGGTATATCTGGCCCTCCCTCCTGTTCTCATAGCTAAGTACCACGTTCAAATGATGTTCCGGTCAATTCTCTCTTTCACCTTCCAAACACATTCCTGAATCTTAGATCTATGGCATGTGTCTGTCAATCTCTTTTCAGTGAGTATCCTTCAGGTGTGTCCCAGAAGCCAAACAGCATTCCAGACACCAAACTGTCTTCAACAGTTCACCATGGGGCCTTGTTTAAGTGTAGACCTCCAGGTTCTGCTGATGGAGATGTGGGTTTAGCCATTGGAAGTGGTGCCTGGGAACCTGTGTTCTCTGATGTACAACCAGGACTGAGGACAACTGGCACTAAAGAGGAACACCCTTCTCTAGAGGACCTATGGATCCACCTGGCTGGGCCTCCACCAACTCCACCTGAGCTCTATTGAAGGCCTACTTTGCACCTGGTCCTCTCAAAGCACCAGTGAGTCCTCAGACACCACCTCACTTCACAAACCCACCCTCTCCACTCTGTCCTTTTGGGCCAAGGGGCAATACGACAACAAGGACAGAACTTAGATCCAACTGTCTATCTTCCCAGCTCTACTATTCACTATTTGGGTGACCCTGGGCAAGACCTAATCTCCCTGAGGCTTGGTCACCTCTCCTGGGAACTCAGCACAAAGTACACAAATGAGATAATGCATTCTTGGCCTGGACTCATCTCAACACTCCAGTGAGGCAACTGTTATGGGTGAGATGCCCCCTCCCCCACCTACACCCTCAAGTCTCTCTCACTGCCGCTCCAGAGAGCCGCACGAGTGCCCAGCGCTTGTTGAGCATCACTCTATGATGAAAAGTAGGCTCCATCAAAACAAAAACTCTTCAGGTTAAATGGAACCACAGAAGAGCACAATAGCTAAGAAGAATTCAGGAGTTAGGGGTGTGGATCAATGGCAGAATATTTATCTAGTGTGTACAAGGCTCTAGGTTCAATCTCTAGGTTCATGGTACACATACAAAAAAAAAGCATTCAACCCCCAAAACATTTTCTAGGTCTAGGCTGGAGAACCGAGCTGATTTTCATTCACATGGGGCCCCTTTTCGGTCCATTCAGTCCTATCCTATCCTGGCTAGACAAGTGTTACTGGCTATCAGGTCTCCCAGCTTCATATATTGCCCTTTGTGAAGTGAGCCCCACTCTGCTCCTGCCCTGTCAGCCTTAGAAGGTAAATGCTTGCATGGGCTTTCCTTAGCAGCCAATCCTCATGCTTGCCTACGGCACCTCCCACCCCACACCATAACATCTGCCTCTCATTTTCACAACCCCAGCTGCCTCCTTTGTCTCCCACCACCTGTAAGATCAGTCTGTTTGGATGCCCTCCACAACACGCTGCACACCTAATCCAGGCCTCCTCATGATCGCCTGAGGCCACCATAACTACCCCTGTTTCCTCAGTAATTCCTGCTCATCACTTATGCCTTGCTTGTTCCAGAACGCCCCTCCCTTCTCTCCATGTCTTACTCTTACTCTCTGCCCAGGTTAAAAATTCTACTTTTCTCATGAAGCCCTCCCAGTCACCTTCATGCACTTAATCTCCTTTATATTCTATGAGGTTAGTACTCATTGCATGTGTATGTACTGGCTCCAGCAGTGACTCAGAGCAAAGTAGACCCTGTGAAAACAGTGCAGTGTCCTATGGAACTGGGTTATGTGTGTATGCTGTCACTGTAATTTATCCCCAGACAGTGCCAGAGTCTCTGTGTATGCTAGTTGGCAACCCTGGGAGCTTAAACCCAGCCTTGTTGATACCAAGAGCTCAGCAAATGTTCGCCGACCACACTGTCTCGACCTCCCCTAAATCATCACTTCCATGTGATAGGGCTTCAGGGAGCTCCGTGTATTCAGGGTCTGTTATTTATCCCAAAGGCACTTGTCCCCTACTGCATGCTGGAATCCTAACCCAGAGAAGGTTCTCAGTCCAGCTCACCTGGTCTCACTGGCCCTGTTCCACACTGTCACCAGAAGACGCTTCTGATCACCTTCCTCCGGAACAGGACTAGGAAGCAAAGCAGAACCATCAGAGAGTTAGAAGGGCCCAGCTCTAGGCCAGGCTCACAGAGCTGGCCGTGATTACAACAGTTGAGAAGGAATCTACAATGGCTAAATACAGTGCCACAGTGTGGGAGATGAGTCATTTCGCGTGTATATTACATTGTTAGGAACAAAAAGGAGGCTGGGACACACCAGTATGAAACAATCCTGTGTTGTAAACACATACACAGACACACGCCCACATGAACGAAGGGATCTGACAGGGCATATCTGTGTAGCTAGGAGGGCTCTGTGTATTTTCTATTTTTTTTTTTTTTTTTGTTCATCCCCTATTGTCCAAATTTGTATAACATGCAAAATTTATGTCATGAAGTGTGGGGAAAACCAAAATATTAAATATTATAATTCTACCAGGAAAAGACTAAATGTCCATGACCTTGCCATTGGCCCCAGAGTGCCCAGAGATGGGGGGGAAATACTAGTAATAGCAAGAGCAGCTCCCACTCTGATGGGCACTGCCTTGTGTTACACTTAAAAGTCCCCAGCTCCCTGGGCGGGAACTATTATTAACTCCATTCTAGGAATGAGGAAGCTGGGGCTCAGGGAGGTTAATGAGTTTAAATAAAAAAGGGGAGATGAGCAGGTAATACCGCCCCTCAGCTCGGAAAATTCCTCCTGTTGAAGGTGAAAACTTGGCCAGAGGCACAGTGGGGAACTGGCTATTCTTGGGGGTGGGGGTGGGCATGCTGCCAGCCCTGGCGACCATAGTCAGGAGAACCAGCCAAGTGATGTTATTGCTGCATGCCTTTCTGCTGGGCCCAGGCCAGGGATGCAAGGACACAGGGGATGAAAAAACAAAGGCATCCTTCAGAAGCCGCTGTTTTTCTGCTTAGATCTGTGTCTAGATCAGGCAAACTGAGACCTTCCCAGACAAAGCCTCCCTGCCTCTCCCCTAGTGGGCTGGGCTGCTCCCGACTCTTACAAGAAGAAATGCTCATGGAAAGCTGGGTCTCTGCAGTTCGGAATGGTCTGTGTCTTCTGACAGCACTGCTGGTCGTCTTCTGGGATCAAAGAAATCTTGAGTGGAGAAAGTGAAAACATTAGGTGATCACAGAGCCACATCATCACCTAAGCCCTGCAGCTAGCTCTGCATGGCTCCAAACTAAAAGCTTCCCAGGGTTCTTCAAAGAGCCTGGGAAGAGGATGGAGCAAAGTCCCCATCACAGGCAAGGAGCCTGGGGCCAGTGCAATGGACACCAGGACAGGGAGTCATGGTGGTGGTACCAAGAAGGCAGCAATAGGTCCTCTGGAGATAGGGTATAACTCTATCTTCTCTACTCTTGCTTCAACTAGGAAGGTTTCCCCAAAGCCAAGGCCTCCTCCCTTCTAAGTCTCCAGGAGCCCCTGGGCATTCTGTTCCCTCCCCGGGAAGCCCCAAGGCCATGCTTTCACTAAGGGGGCCTCCTTCCTCTGCCTCAGGCATCCAGCCTGTTCCTGTCAAGTCTGTCTCCAGCTCTTGGCAGGAAGGACTTCAGGAAGTAAGGGGAAGAGAACATAAGGCCTGCACCTAGCATCTTGGCTGCAGTACTCTGGGATGTCCCTGGCCTTTGGCTTCCTGTATCTTTTCCATTTATGTTTCTCTCCATTCACTGCAAGGGTCTAACATCTTCCAGCCTTCAGAGATACCCCTTCCACTCTCCTGCTCAGGCCTGGCGATTCTGCTTCAGTTTGGTAGGGAAAGGGATGAAGATGCTGCTGGCTGCAAGAAAGCTTGTGTGTCAGTCACCAGCATCGTCACAATACCCACCATGTGGATCACTAAGATTTCTTGCCCAAAGCCCTGAGGAACAAGTCAGTCAAAAAGCAAGGATCTAGGCCAGTACCGGGCCTCATAAAGGACCAGGGACCCAGTGGATGAGGTTCTAGCCACTACCTCAGGCCCCAAACCCACATGTGTACTTGGACCTTGAGACTTCTGTCAGGGACATGGCTCCGCAGGACCCCACACCAGCCTCTAGTCCCATCAGATACCTTCACATAGGGATCACAGCTGTCAGGCTCTTTGCTCATCAGGCCTTTGCCTTCTATAACTAAGAGAGAATTGAAAGGTTAGGGTGAGTAAGTGGGAATACACAGCATAAGCATATACCCACTAATGGAAGGGTATGGAAATACAAGACATATCTGTGGGCAGTAGGACTCTGACCCCTAACCCTGGTCTCTTGGTTGACATGCTAACTAAAGGTTGTTAGTCCATCTCTGCCTAGTGTATTGCCACTCTCCCACCCTTATGCTCTGGAAGCACCCGCACCATGCTACAGCATGGAGTGCATTCCATTCCCCAAGTCTTATAGCCAGAGGGGAACTTAAAATGTATTCAGTCCAAGCCATCACTGAGTGGGGGAAATTTGGCCACCAGGAGGACACAAAGATATAAGAATCACTAGAATCACAGAGCAATGGAATGGCAGTTAGATTAGAACCTATGTCTCTTGACTCATAGCCCACTGCTCTCTCTATCTTTCAAGACAGTCACCAAGGATGGGAGCCCAAGCTGCCCAAGGGGCACAGCGCTAAGTATGGACAGTGTCACAGAATGGTCACAAGCCTGAATCCAGAGGTAGACAGGCCATGCATGAAGCCAGCCACACCATTCACTAACCATGTGTACTGGAGGAAGTTACCAGCTTTCTCAGACTGAGAGCTCCATTTCTCCAAGAATTATTGGTGGTATTCACTCATATGATACTTGTCCTTTTAAAATGTTTTTAAAATGCTTAATAGACTGTCTGGCCAATAAGAAACTGTTGTACAAAATGTTTGCTAACTTAAAAAAAAAAAATGAATAAGGGCTGGGGTGTGGCTCAGTTAGTATTTACCTAGAGTGTTTATCTAGTATGGATCTCCAGCACTATCAACAGAACAGAAAATAATGATGATGATGATAGATAAATTGATTGATGATAGATAGATAGATAGATAGATAGATAGATAGATGATAGATAGGAATGCTCGCTATAAATGTAAGAATGGCTCTTTTGCCTGATGTCCTCAGCAATCAGGTAATAGGTCTAACTGAACCCACATCTCTTGTTTTCTTTTGTCCTTGGTTTGGTCTGGCCCTGTGTTTGGCTCACACAGAGCCTCAGTAGTCTGGGGCATGAGGCCTGGGAAGCCAGGCTGGAAGGGATGAAGAGCTGAGGCTGGGGGGAAGCCAAAGCAAACTACACAGGACAAATGGTGTGGCAGGGGCCAAGATGCATTTTGCAAAAACTGTTTGCACAGCTGGAGAGAGACCCTGGCAGGCCCGGAACACCCCTCTTTTAGTCCTTGGGAACTTCACATTGGGCCCCTTAAGGCCAGGAGCAATGGACCTCAGGCGCCTGCTGTTCTCTGTTCTGTATCCTAGCTACTGTTCCCCAAGAGTATATTCCTCCCCTCTAGGGTGTGGCTTTCCTGGGCAGGATCCAGGCCTGGTGACCTCCTGGGTCTTCCTGATGGCAGTAAGGTAGCGCTGACCACACCCTCACTGCACTCCTATCATGGAGGACAGACCAAACTCACAGTGGCACAGTGTGGCCAGGCTATGATGAGGACCCAAAACAGGGAGCAACCAAGGGCTCCTGGAGTTGGGTAAGGACAAGGGGTCACTGCTGGGGGTGGAGCAGATACAACCTTCCTTCCTGAGGCTCACTGGTGTCCTGGGTAGGCACAGTTCTGGCAAAACCAGAGGGAGGAAAGGTTCGTTTGAGGAGGGAGTTCAACAAAAGAGGAAGGTTATTATAGACACAGGAACCGTCGTTCCTGTGCCAAGACAGAGAGCACTGACAAGCTATGTGCACTCCTGGGGAGTGGGGCACCCTGTAGATAGAATGAGGATAGAGAGTGTCTTGCACAAGAGCCAGGAAGCCTTGAGAGACAGATGGGGCCTTCCAAGCTAAGCTGAAGAGTTCAGACATCAAGGGCCACATCAGAAGCTTAGAAACACTCACATGCTGAGTGGAAGGAAGGACAAAAGGATTAAATGGGCAAGTCAAGTCCTCCCTGGCAACCCACAGCACCACGTAGACACGGGGAGGTACTTCTCTTTGGGGTCCACAGCCCCTAGCACAGGGGCTGTGCTCAAACACTAACTTTGCAGTTTATGGCTTTCCATTTTATCTTACAGGACACCTCTGCTGTGTGCTGGGTGCTTTACCAGTATAACTCATTTAATCCTTGAAACAACCCATGAGTGGGATGGTTGTTATTTCCAGCACTGTATGAGGGGAAAACTGAGTTTGCTCAGCTTTACTTAGTAAGCAAAGCATCAGAGCCAGGACTCAGATTCTAGTGGCTTGGCTCCAAAGGCTATGACCTTAACCATAACATTGTGCTGCCCATCATTGTGTGAATAAACAAAATAATGAGGATTAAAAAAAAAAAAAAAAAGACAGCAGGGAAGCTAGGAAGGCTTTTCCACAGGCCCTGCTGGGCCTGGCCCAAGTGTAACTTTGAGGTGTCTACAGACATCTGCAGCCTGCTGAGAATACAAACTCCAGACTTCAGAGTGAGGACAGACACTGGGTCTACAGAAAGTGTCCCAAGTGAGCACCCACTTTGCCAGTGGACAAATGGCAGAATGCTATAGGAAAAGGAAAGACACCATAGTGACACCATGTCCTGTCCAGCTACAGGCAGGAAGGGACCATCACTCTCCTCCCTTGGTGAGCCTACACACAGCCATACTTACTGTGTAGCAGCAGAACCCGATCCTGGGCATCAATGGACAGCTTCAGCTGACCTAGGAAACAATAAAAGAAGCACCTTTACCTCAGCTTCTTGTCAGGGACACTGAGCAACGGTGGTAAAAGGAGTTCTTGCACCCACATGAGGCCATCCAAAGGCATGCATAATCTCTGATTGGAAGGGGCCTCCAGAGCCAGCTGGTTCTGCCTCCTCTCCCTACCAGGAGTTCCTTCTGCAGGGGCTTCAGCCTGATGGATGCCATACTGATGATGGGGAGCTCACCCCTGCACAGGGAAGCAGCCAGGGCTGACAGTGGACAGTGTACATACTGCCAAAGGGGTAGGGCACAAGACACTGTTATCCTCTGCCAAAAGAAGGGCCGGTTGCCTTTGCTGGTGATATACACTGGAATTTATATGTGCATCCTCTTAGTCAGGTGCCTGCCTAACAGACAAGCTACCCATATATGCACACAAGGCTACTGAACAAAAGGAAATATGCCTATAAAATCATCTACAACTGTACCGGGGGATGGCATGGACTGGTTCTATGTGGCCTAGCATTGGGATATTATTGACAAGGGTTTTGTTTTTGTTTTTCAGATTACTTTATATATGTGAGTGTTTTGCCTGCATATATATCTGTGCTTCTTGTGCATGTCTGGAGCCTCAGAGGTCAAAAAAGGGCATCTGATCTCCTAGAACTGGAGTTAGGGATGGTTGCGAGACACCATGTAGGTGCTGAGAACCGAACCTAGGTCCTCTGGAAGAATAGCAAGTGCTCTCAACCATTGCTCCAGTTTTTAAAGGGGACAAATTGGAGAGCAAAACACCTGTTGTGTGTGCATGCATGTGTTAAAAGGACACCAAATTAAAACCAGACTTTCCTGGAGGAAGGGGAATGGGAATTAGATGGAAGTAGTTAAGAATTCCAATTTACGTTGTTTTCCAACTCTCGTTATTTTAACAATATAAATGCTTCCATGAACAGCAACATTTTTATAACTAAAATTGCAGGCAAAGAATGGAGACCTGAGTTGGTGACTGCTTGTTTCTGGTTTCTCTCTTTTTATTTTAAATAAAATAAAAATAAAATGAGACTTTAGGTTAAGATGGAGAAATGGCTCACTGGATTAAGCACTTACGTGCAAGTGTGAGAACTTGAGTTCAGACCTCCAGAACCCATAGCCTGGCACAGTAGTGAATAGTAATCACCATGTTCCTACAGGAGATAGGAGGTGGAAACAGAATCTCCAGAAGCCCTAGGGTCAGCTAGGCTGGTGTATGCATAGAAATGAATTAATATTTAGACAGAGCTAGTAACAGGCCAACAGCTTTATATTTAATACAGTGTCTCTGTGTGTTATTTGGGGCTAATGTGGGAAAACTGCTCATAACACCCACCCACAACGGCCTGCCCCTTCCCCATCAATCATTAATTTAAAAAAAATGCCCTAAAGCTTGCCTACAACCCAATCTGATGTAGGCATTTTCTCAATTGAGGTTCCCTCCTCTCAGATGTGTCAAGTTGACAGAAAACTAGCCAGCACAACAAGAGACCATGTTTTAAACAAAGTGCAATCAAGGACCAGCATCCAAGGTTGTCTTCAGACCTCTATACATGTGTCTTGACACATTTATTCCCACACTTGTATACATAAACACACACACACACACACACACAGAGGCAGGGAGATTATAAACCAACCAAGAAAACAAACAAAAACCCCTCAAGTCATCCTCACAGACAGCCATACCCATCACTTCCCAGACATAGCGAAACTTCTGAGTCTAGCAGTCTCTCTAGAGTCTCAGACAGTCACAAGAGCCCATCCACCCAGGGACATAGGCTGAGGGCAGGGTCAGGCCCTTGTACTCACCTGCCTAGCCCTGTCACTTCCAGTGAGGGAAGGTCACTTCCTATAAGAAGAGCACTTTCTCTTTTGAATAACTATTTGATGCTCCATCTAAATGGGCTGTTGGTAACTTTCATTGACCTGATTTGGTCCTGCCAGCTCTGGACTGTCTCCTCTAGACCCGATGCCCAAAGTCCTTCTCCTTCGGCAGGCACAGCGAGACATCCTGTCACTGTCCCAGCTGTGTGTTTGTGTGTGTCCTCTGTATAGGCTGGCGCCTGAGGCCTGGGCTTCATTACTGACTAGAAGACAAGTGAGCAGACTGTGGATAACAAAAAGAAGGGAGTCCTGTGTCTCGAAATTCTGCAAGAGGCCCCGAACCACAGTAACCTGGAACCCCTCAGTCCTCACACTGGTACAATCCACAAGCTATTCAGACTGCAGCCTTCTACCCGTCAGTATTCTTCCTGCTCTCCTGACCAGGCTACAGGCCCAGGAGGGCCATTCTAGTTCCAGGACCAACTGCCCACTTCTCTCCCAGAACCACAGTGCCCGTGGCTGGGAGACAGGACTAATGATAGGGTTAAAATGCACTTCAAGCTATGCTCAGATGATACTGGACAGTGATGAGTTCCTGGGATGAAAGGATGCATGGGAGCCCACAGGACGATTATCTCAAGGTCCCTGAAATTGCTACTCTCGGGCTCCCTAGTGCCTAGAAATCTGCTGCAGATCCAGTGCCTGCTCCAGAGTGGGGTGGGAGAGGAAGGTTTGAAACAGATGTGGCCAGCAGTCATGGGTCAGAGCTCACCAACCCAGTGGCATCTAGGTTTAGCATGAAATGTTATTTGTTTCTGAAACCACTGCCAGTGCAAAGTCAGCTCTGGTCCAAACATGCTCTATTTGCAAAGCCCTTGGAACTGCTACACCATATAATCCCTAACAATAACCCTTCCCAGAAATGGAGACATATCCCCATACACAAACAGCCATTGGTCCCATTGGTGAATGTGAGAGACAGAGGGCAGATCTAAATGCACAGATTTCTGTATACAGCAGAGGTAAGTAGGGCCAGGCCAAAGCTGGAGTTGAAATACAGAATGGTCCTAGGTCAACCTTCCTCATACCATGACCCTTTAATACTCGCATTGCGGTGGACCCAACTATAAAATTATTTTCATTGCTACTTCATAACTGTAATTCTGCTACTGTTATGAATCATAAAAATTTTTGGAGATAGAGATTTTCTGTGGGGGGGGGTTGTGACCCACATGTTGAGAATCACTATTTAGGTCAAAGATTGGCTCAGAGTTCTGATGAGTCCATAAGATCTGCCAAGGGTGTCTACTCAAAGAGAGCCTAAGGGCCCAGGCTCACCAATGAGGATTAGGTCAAGAATGGGCTTATACTGCCTCCTCTGTTTTCCCCTCCTCTATCAAATGTCCAGCACTCAAGGACCCTGAAGTCATGTTGCCTGGTGGCTACTATACCTGGTGTAGACAGTGACTTGAACCCAAAGGATCCCCAGAACCAGGGCTGGAGAACAAAACTGTGGCCCAACACAGTTCCTGTGCAGCAGTCTGTTAGAACCCCCAGCCCCCAGCCGGCACCTCCTCCTCCATCACAGGACAAGGTACCACAGCTTTATTCAAGAAGCCAAGAGACAGGGAACAGGCATGGTGGTACGTTTTTTTAATCCCAGCACTTGGGAGGCAGAGGTAGGTGGGTCTCTGAGTTTGAAGCTAATCTGGTCCACAAAGTGAGTTCCAAGACACATACAGGTACCTATAGAGACCCTGTCTCAAAAAAAAAAAAAAAAAGCCAAGAGAATGCTAACTAAATGGGTCAGCAGGCAGAAGAGCTGGCTGCACAAGCCTGACAGCCTGAGTCTGGTACCCAGAGCCTACAGTAGAAAGAAAGAACCAACTGCTACACGTAGTCCTCTGACTGCCATATCCATGCCATGACCCCCACACACCCACACTCACATGCACACATCACACACACCAACAATAATAATACATAAAAATTAATTTAAAATAAAGGGGACAAAAAAAAGTGCCAAGGAGATGGCAGAAATATCCAATCTAAAGAAATGAGCCACTGGGGAAAGGGATGACAGGTTGAATCCTGAGTCTTCAGCTGCTCTGAAAACAACAAAGCAAAAACAAAAACACAAGCAACACATGCACATGCTCCCCACCTTCATTTTGTCCTTTCCAATAGTCCTGCTTCCTTCCTCCACAATCAGGAGTGTGGCCTGAGAGAGTGCCAAGTGCTTTGGAGTACTGACGCTGAGGACCTATCGTCATCACCTCAGGTTGTGTGTACACACAGGAGTTGGGGGTTGGAAAGGGCTGTTTCCACAGGACTGTAGCTGGGCATCTTTTCTATGTTCAAAGGATCCTGGCAATGGGTGCTCAAAGAATCCGTAAGGGTATACCGGTTACCCAGGGCCCAGAGCCAAAGTCCCCATTGGCCAGGGGTGCTACTGAAGGAGTAAGCTTAAAAAGTTTGGAGAGGGCAACAAACCCCAATTCTGCTAGGCACAGGACTGAGGGGCACAGGCTCACTGTACATCCAAAAGGAAGCAGCCAAAGAAAGTCTGCCCTGCAGGCATTGCTCACCAGAAAACCACAGGAAGACAAACTCTCTCAGGATACAGTTCAGGGAGACTGGCTTAGAAAACAGCAAGATGTGGGCTGCAACCTCTTGCTGGACTCCAGGGTCAGCAGATACATATCCTCAAGAGGGCCCATGCCAGTCTGGGATATGTCAAGAATGCATCTACAAGGTTCATATAAAGCAACAATCTTTGTAGTGACATATTATTTATGATTGTTAAAGCTTCAGAAATTTATGATTGTTAAAGATTCAGAGAGCAGCCAGCCACAAGTCATAGAAGCCAGGCACACACCTTTAATCCCAGAAGCTAGAAGCTAGGAGGTAATGATACACGTTTAATCCTAGGACTCAGAATTAAGAAGTAGACAGACTTCTGTGAGTCCAAGGCCACCCAGATCTACACAAGATGGATCCAGTCCTAAAAAAGAAACAACTCACACAAAGATGATCCCAGCACCTGGGATCACATGCCTTTAATCCCAGCATTAGGGAGGTATATAAGACAGGAGAAGGTCTCAGTATCGAGTATTCATTCTCCAGCCACACTGAGGACTAGAAAACAGTGAAGTCTCAGG